GACCTCTCCTCAAGCATGGCGTTATGTGAAGTCTGAGAACAATCCTGCAGATGACATTACCCATGGCAAAACACTTCAGCAACTAGCAGTGCCAAGTCAGTGGAATCGTGGACCGCACTTTTTGTGGCAAGACCCAAGTACCTGGCCTGATGACTCTGAGGAATCAGTCCCAGAGAGTACAGATGAAGAGAAAAAGGTAACCTTCTGCAGTCTGACCACAGTAGACTTCTCTGACCTAACACAAGAATTCTCACCCTACCACAGTTTTAATCAATTGGTAGAAGTAGGGCTGGGTATCGAGTTCGATACTTTTTAGGCACCGACCGAATTGCCTCGATACCATCAAGTATCGAAAAATTTACCAAATTTTGATACCTAAGGGGTTAATCTCATCAGCATCAGTGAGCCAATAAGCCTGCAGCACTAGCCGGTGTGTTCGACTAGACGCTGCTGGCTGCTGCTGAGAGACGTATAGACGCACTTAATCTCTCTCTCTCCCTCTCTCTAATAACCGCATTAGACTGCATAAATAACTGCGTAAAGCTGCATATCAATGGCTCAAGCCTCTGTTATCAGCTCTAAAATGACGTTTTGGAATTTGCAACGGAAGGTTTGGGATGAGGTGCGTAAAAAAAATTAGTTCAACCCAGATTTCAGGACGGAAACATGTCAAATGTCTTGAAACAAATTATCTGAATAATGTCTTGATGTGTGGTTGGGACTGTTTGCTTGGGTGGTAATATTAGGTCTATTATATTAATAGGGAAGGGGGGCCAAAAATGTTTTTTCTACGTCACAAAAATAGGTGAATCCGGACCTGCCATCTAATGTGTGTTTTGGCCATGTAATGTTGCTGAAATTAAATGTGTTATTACCTCTGAGTCAGAGCAGCGATCATGGAAGAGAGAACACAAGCAGACAGTGCTGGAAGCTGCTAATACTCGTCATTAAATCAGTGGAAAATAAATAGAAATCATGATTCTGTCTGAGCTATGCGTTTTAAAACGAACACTAACTAGTGTAAATGTAGCCTAACAGATGTGTAAACTGAAGACTATTTTAGCTTTATTAAAACTATTTTGCACTGATTTATTGTGTTGGTTACATTTTGTTCCTTTGTGCAGTGGCTCAGGAGATGAGTCTTTGAGTTTGTATAAACATCAACAAGCTGAAAAAATTTTTTTTTTAAGATAATGTAATCTTGTTAAAATTAATATCGAAAAAAGTATCATTCAGGAACCGGTATCGAAGTCAAGGTATCAGTATCGGTATCGAAAAATTTTGAACGATACCCAGCCCTAGGTAGAACATGAAGCCCAAGAATTGTTAAAACAAGCAAATCAGACAAAAGATTTATCTGCCCAAGACTATGCAGCTGCTGAGATCTTACTCCTAAAGCAGGCCCAAGCTAAGTGTTTCCCAGTTGAGCTTAAATTATTAACAGGTGGTCAATCCTTGCATTCCAACAGCAAATTAATATCCCTTGCACCAGAGCTCGACCACTCTACTGGGCTCATAAGAGTTGGTGGCCGTCTGTGACGTAGTGAGCTGCTCAAACCAGATACTGCCCATCCAATTGTACTTGATCCCAAACACCCACTCAGTAAACTCCTGATCCAGCATTACGATGAGAAACTTCATCATCCTGGCCCAGAAAGGGTATTTGCTGAGTTACGTCGCAAATACTGGATCATTAGAGGCCGTGAGGCAGTACGACGGCACAAACATCAATGTCAGGAACGCAGAAAATGGCGAGGCCAGCCTCCAGCCCGACTTGGTCTCTACCGCCCAGCATTTTATTCAACTGGTGTTGATTGTTTTGGGCCATTCACAATCAAGGTTCGCCGACGCACTGAAAAACGATGGGGAATTGTATTTAAATGTATGACGAGTCTACATTGATTTACTCCCCAAAATTGATACAGATTCATTCCTCATGGCCCTGCGTAGATTCTTAGCACGCAGAGGAATTCCCCATGAACTCTATTCTGACCAGGGAACAAACTTGAAGGGAGGAGAAAGAGAACTATCAGAAGCGTTTACTGCCATGCAACCCACTTTGCAAAAAATTCAGTTCAAATTTAATCCCCCTGGAGCCCCTCACTTTGGTGGACTATGGGAGAGGGAGATCAGGTCTCTAAAGTCTGCTCTCAATGTTACACTTGGATCCCAACATGTAACAGAGGAAGTGCTAACAGAAATTGAAGGGATTCTAAACTCTAAACCCTTGGGCTACGTGTCATCGGATATAGCAGATGTGGATCCCATTACCCCGAACAGCCTTTTATTGGGGCGGCCAGACCCTGATTTACCCCAAATTGTATACCCTGAGTCAGAATTACTTAGCAGAAAATGCTGGAGACACAGCCAGATCCTTGCCGACCATTTTTGGGCACACTACATCAGGAGATACTTACCTGAGCTGCAAACTCGAAATAAGCGGATGACTGAAACTGGCAAAGACCTAAAGACTGGGACAGTAGTGATGATAGTGGATCACCAGTTGACTCGAGCCCTCTGGCCAGTGGGTAAGGTCTCAGCCACAGTACCAGGGGCTGATGGGAAAATCCGAACTGCTGAAGTGCAAGTACAGGGTCGGAAATACATCCGACCAGTGAGTAAACTTGTCTGTTTGCCACCATTACCTGATGATGACAAGGACTCGTAAGCCTTTTCTAATGTAGAATTTACTACGTAAATTGGGGCGGCTGTTGAAAAGGCTTATTATATATTTGCTGGGTTTATTGTTTTATTCTTATTGGTGGACTGTGAATTACTGACAGCGTAGTTTAGTCCCGCCCCCAGAGTTTGACGCAACATTTCATGTTCCACATTAACGTGATGAAGGGTTCGCGTGTATTCAAGCCATAGATGAGTTCGTAACTTTGAAAGTAAGTTTATTTTCCCACATATATTTATAAATGTTCTTTAAGTTTGTTTATATTGCTGTATTTAACCGTGCTGATATATATTGCATCCATATCTCCGTGAAGTTAATGCTAGCGCTATAAATGTTCGCTGTCTCTGCACGTGCGCTTCAATGTGCGCTGTATAAGTGTGATGACGAATAATATTTCACATTTTACTTTAATGTATACATCGTACAAATGTCAGTGAGCCATATTGTGTGGATTGATAAGATTATTTATAATTGAAAAGCAGTTATAAGACGATGATCGCGTACATCACTAGTCGATTATAGTCACATGTCCTCACGTGTTTGTACATTTGATATGGGTGTGTTTGTCGTTTATTGCTGTGAATTGATTATTGTATTTCTGTTTTAATTATAGAAAAACCACACACGTTTGTAAACCCATACACAATCACGACTGCACTGTGTATGTCAGCTGGCTTGAAACTTTATTAAAAACAGTGATTGGACTCATGGACTTCTGTGCATTCTTACCGATGCCCCGTGATGATCCCATCTAAACCAAACCATTTCAAAACATACTTAACAATATATATATACTGTGTGCAAGTGTGTAATTTCTGCACCACTAGAGTCAAAATTGGAAAATTGTTTAGGAAAATCGAATTTTGTACTTAAAGGTTATAAAAATTCGAATTATATTCAAATTTAAAATGCATAATTTCAGTTAGGGTGAAGAAAAGCTTTTGGCTTCTCTCCTGAGGCCACAAGAGGGCGCATCGAACAAAACATTACTAATGCACGTTTATTCAAAGCATAAGATAACATGACTATCTGTGAAAAAAAGTGCATAATGTTTAAAATAATGTTTATAAACCAATTATAATTAATTAAGTTGCTTAAACAACTATAAACAAAACAGCATCATGTATGTATGTATAGTTTAATTCAAAGGGCGGAAAGCCAATCACATTGTACATTTTTCATTTAAAAACACGAGTTGCAGTAGGATGGGGAAAAACCCCCGCCATAAAGTCTCGAGTTATGTTTTTCAAAGTTGAACTTGCATTAATTTTACATGGCTTTCTGAACATGTGGCTCCTTTGTGCGAGTGCAACGCTGATAGATGTCCCCCTAGAAAATGTGTGAAACATGCGTTCTGTGTAAACGGCTTGGTTTCAGTTTTGACGTAAACAACGCAGCGGCGCCGCATCTAGTGGCTTCAACTGGATAGGCTAAGAAGAACATTAAAATGCAATGACACTTACATCGTCATCGCATCTTGTGCGCCACTGATAAGGCTGCCTCCTTAAAGGGTTAGTTCACCCAAAAATGAAAATTAGCCTGTGTTTTACTCACCCTCGAAGCATCCTAGGTGTATGTGACTTTCCTCTTTCAGAGGAATCTAATCGGAGATATATAAAAAATTGTCCTGGCCCCTCCAAGCCTTTCAACGGGTGTTGGTTGTCAACAGTTCAGAAGACGTGAAATAAAGTGCGCGTATCTGTAATAAAATGTCCCTCACACGGCTCCGGGGGGTGGATAAAGGCCTCCTGTAGTGAATCCATGCGTTTTTTTAAAGATAAATATCCATATTTCAAACGTAATAAACAACTAACCCTTTAACGCACACCTAAAATTCGAATGCAACGTTTTTGCATTCAAATGTGGATTTTTATTTTAAATTCAACAAATATTCCAAAAAAAAAATTTTGACAGGCCTACTTATAGCTGACATAAAGGAACATGAAATAAAAATGTGAGTGTTGTAAAACTCATGCATGAAGTTGAATGCAAATCTGTGATGCGAAAGGAATCCATTATTGAATTTCTCAGGGAGTGTTTTGTGACATAATTCCTTAATATAAAGGCACAAAAAGGGCTTTGCTTTAGGATGGCATATTACACTTGTAACCTAATATATTACACGACAACAATATATTTCCAAAATAATTAATCCACGCCTTTGGAGTATTTCCATCAGCAATCATAAGCTTGTTATCTTTCCCAGTTGCAGATTTAATTGTGCACGCAATGGAAAGTGGGATTGAAAGTACTTTACCCTATAACTTGAATTTGCCGCAAAGACAAATTCTCTGCGCAAAGACTGTCAAGTGTTCAGTACCTGTTTCTATGCCTGGGATGCGACTGGTGTTGAACATACGCTCATACTGGGAGGAGCACATAGGGATGGTGCTCTGAAGCATTAACTGTGAAGCAGAGAGAAAGAGGTCAAATAAAAGTAGATGCTCTAGAGAGAATTATGCAATCATTAGGATATAAGAAGACTGACTGGGGTCCTAGTCTGAAAAATTATGCTATATAAAATAAAAGGAAGGGAATGGAATGAATGGAGAGGGATTTTAAGCAGCACAGCCCTGTGTCACCAGCTTGTCATTACAAAGTCATTATATTATTGTGCATAAGAATAAACGGTCAACATATGAACATATGCAATAACATGTCTATTTATACTGCTAATCAAAATTAACTGATGGCACATGACCAGTTGAGTAGGCAGAAGTTGGTCTATGGTGCACAGACTGGCTACTCTTACCCGTCTCCTGGCCTGGGATGCGGCATGTATTAAATAGCCGCTCCCACTGGGCAGAACAGAGTGGAACGCTGTTCATTAGTGCAAAAAGCTGCACCATTTTGAATATATGATCAGGAGGCATGAAATATAGAAACATTCACATGATTAAATAAAGAGATCAATCTCCTTAGTAACAGGCCTAAGGTTAGATAGTGCTAATCATTTATTTGTGATCGAGGGCAGAATTTATTACAGTGTTGGGCCATTAAATTCTAAAGCTCTTTTTTTTTTCTTTATTATGAGACAGAATGGTAAAAAAAAAAAAGCTGATTAAAACATGATTAAGATGCAATACAATATGGTAGCTTGTCTAACCGGCTTCATTTGAGCCCGGTCCAGATTCCTCCTGTAAATCATGATTGCATGAATGACGTTGCCGGCTCTTGCTGCTTGCAGATGTGTAGGAAAGGCGTAAAGAAAGTCCTGTTCAGAGGAAAGAAGAAACCAAGAATGCATGTACAATCTAATTGAGACCAAACAAAAATATGATCTAGTCAAACTCTGCATACTGCTACAAAGTATGGAGCTAGCCGACTATTATATATCTACAGTGGGTATAGAAAATAATCACCACCCTTTAAAATAATCACATTTTGTTGCTTTGCAGCCTGAAAGACGGACAGTTTGTTTTATCCAGCTGTATTCAGTGCAACTTATAGCATCCTAGTGAAAGATATATCAGCAACATGTCAGGAAAAAAAAAGAAAAAGAAAAAGAAAAAAAAAAACAATCACTGTTTTTTGAGTTGGAAAAAGGATCACCCCCTTGTGTCAGTATTTTGTTGAACCGCCTTTTACTTTAATTACAGCCTTTAGTCTGTTGTCTACTAACTTTGCCTCTACTAGCAGTTTGTTTTATCCAGCTGTATTCAGTGCAACTTATAGCATCCTAGTGAAAGATATATCAGCAACATGTCAGGAAAAAAAAAGAAAAAGAAAAAAAAAAACAATCACTGTTTTTTGAGTTGGAAAAAGGATCACCCCCTTGTGTCAGTATTTTGTTGAACCGCCTTTTACTTTAATTACAGCCTTTAGTCTGTTGTCTACTAACTTTGCCTCTACTAGTATGTCTCTACTAACTTTGCACATCTAGACTTTGCAATATTTGCCCACACTTCTTTGCAGAACTGTTTAAGTTCAGTTCAGTTTGATGGTGAGCGTTTGTGGACTGCAGTCTTCAAGTCATTCCACAGATTTTCAATGGGGTTTAATTGCTCCAGTCCCTGCTGCAGAGAAACACCCCATAACAGGATATTACCACCTCAATGCTTTACTGCAGGAATGCTGTTATTTGGATGGTGAGCTGGATTGGATGTTTCCGCCAGACATATAGTTTGGTGTCGAGGCCAAATAATTCAATTTTAGTCTCATCTGTCTTAGAATCTTCAAGGTGCGTTTTAGCAAAGCTCAGTCTGACTGCATGTGGCCTTTCTTGAGGAGTGACTTTTTTTCTTGCAACCCTCCCATTCAAACCACATTTGTGGAGAATTTGTGATATTGTTGTCACATGCACACAATGACCACTCTTTGTCATAAATTCCTGCAGCTGCTTCAGAGTTGCTGCAGGCCTCTTGGCCGCCTCTCTGGCCAGTTTCCTCCGGCTCTTTCATCCAGTTTGGAGCGACGTCCTGATCCAGGGAGGGTCTGTGTTCGTTGTATCAAATACATTCCACTTCTTAATAATAGACTTCACTGCGCTTCTAATCATTGATAAAGCATTTGAATTTTTTTTTTTATCCATCTCCTGACTTGTGCCTGTCCACAAATTTATCCCGGAGATCTTTTGATGGGTGCCCATAGTTGATTGTTTGCTTCAGTTGCACTACCAAGGACTGAAATGCTCCAGGAAAGCTCTTTTCATGCTGAGCTGATCAAAATGGCCAAAAGCTGAAAGTCAAATGGCTTTGTGTGCCACTGAGCAGGTGATTAGAAGTCATTTTTAGGAGGGGAGTGATCCTTTTCCAACTCAGTCATTCTGTTTTTGTTTTTTTTTTCTGACATGTTGCTGTTATATCTTTCATTTGGATGTTATAAGTTGCACTGAGTAAATACAGCTGGATAAAACAAAAACTGTGTCCATCTTCATTTCAGGCTGCAAAGCAACAAAATGTGATTATTTTAAAGGGGGGTGATTCTTTTCTATATCCACTGTATATATACACTGCACCTTGTGGCTGCATATGCATGTGAAGCTGGCAAGTACTATTTACCATTACATAATAGTTGCTGTTAACCATGATTGGCCCACGACCTCTCAAGTAGATATATTCTTCCCACCAGTCACTGACCTGAAAAACACAGCGATGCAAACTCGGAGATGAAAAGGATAAAACCGTAAAATAGTAATAACAGTTAATTATGCATAATTATATGCAACTAACCCTAGACCACCAAACCCAATTTCTAACCCTAAACCTATAGTAAGTTGGTAATTAATGCTACTACTCTGTAATAAAATGTATAATTAAAGTAACAATGACACCCTCTTAAAATAAAGTTTAACCCCATTATTTCAAAATCTAAAGCTCAAAAATAAAATATTATTATCATCACAGTTGAAAACGGTTATGCTGCTCAATATTTTTGTGGAAACCACAAAATTCTTTAAAAATATAAAAGTTCAAAAGAACAGCATTTATTTGAAATATATATATATATATATATATAAACATAAATGTCTTAACTGTCTATTTTGACCAATTAATGTGTCTTTGGTGAATAAAAGTATTAATTTAAATAATTTAACTAAGACAAAAAATCTTACTAAATGTTTTAGTTGGAGAACTCTTGGTTTCAAAGAGCTCCGTCAAGATGACTTTTTCAAGAGAAAGTGATGAACTTGGTTTGCTTAGAAAGTCCTGGTGATTTAGCCAATGAGTTAAGATAAAAATTCATATAAATATAACAACATAACATGCCATGTTATGCACTAATTATATATATATATATATATATATATATAACAACGAAAATTTCTTTACTGTCACTTTTAATAAATTTAATGAATCCTCACTGATAAAAAATGAAAAATAAATAAAATAAAAATACTGACCTCAAGTTTTGAATGGTAGTGTGTGTCTTTGTATACAGGATTAAATATTAAGCTTGCCATTTCAAAGATGGAATATGTATTATTTATTAATGCATTCTATTTTATTCTATTCTATTTTACAATATAGTTGTGAATTAGAATGAACTACTTAGATATGCACAAATCACATGAAATTTGTCAAATTTTTAAATATTGAAAAATTTTCTCAATATTTGTAAATATTTGTCAAACTTTGCTGAAATGCAAGCAGTCTGCACCCTGTGACGCATCAATGAGAAAATATCACACAACATAATGCAAGAGCTTAAACTCCTGCTGCAGTTCTTCATTGAAAGGTCACTGATATGTTGAGAAATGTGTTTTACTTACATAATTGGTGGCCCACCAAGACTTCAGCTTGAGGTACCACTGAAGTTTTGGTCCAAGGTTCTTCTCAAAACCAAGCGCAAGACTCTGCATTCTTTGGTGTTCCTCATCGCTCAGCAGTGGCCGAACTGAATCAAGATACTACAGACCCAACATTTCAAGAAAACAAGAAAGCCCAGCTAAAATTCACACCTTAAAGCAAAATCTCACTGCCAGGGTTGTCAAAGAAATTAGTATTAACTGAAATCCAAGCATATGCATAATGAATGCCAGCAACTAAACTAGTTTTGTTTTTCTAGTACCGTTCTGAACAGCGTGCATGTTTTAGTAAGTTAACTCACTTCATCCACGCTGTGCAACCTACCTCCAAAATCAGTAGATAATCACCTGAGCAAGTTAACTCTGAAAACAAGTGACCAAAATTCACATTGGAAAAACTAAACGAAGTGCAGCTATTCCTGGCTTACCAATCTGACATGTATATAACTGAATAAAACATCTCAATAAAAACAGCATTTAGCGGAGTTTTGATTTGATTGCTGTAAAGATGAATAACTTACTCTTCTCATGGTGTCCTTCACAGATGGCACAGGTAAATGAGGGAGAGAGTTCTGGAAGCTGTATAGCATTGGTGTTTGCATGCCAGAAAAAACCTTCACTAGGATCTGCAATGTCAGAGAACAAATAAAAGAGTTCAAAACAACCAAGAATGAATTAGTGAGCATAAACTGTTCCAGAAAACAGTTATCACAAATACACACCAGCCATATCCGAAGTTGACAGGTTATTTTGCCATGGGGAGCAAACATCCAGCCGTGCCAGGACAGCAGACCCTTCAGGACAGTCCTCATGCTGAATATGATGGCAATCCACAGACCCGTGCCCACCATGACACCTCCAACTAACATCTGATTTTGTGTAGACATGTACCTACTGCAAAAAGAGAAGAATAAAGGCTGGAATACTCTAAATGACTTTTAAAACCTGAAGAGGTTAAAACACTAGGCATCATACACTTGCTGACTTTGTAATTGGTTCCAGAGAAAAACTGCACATCATATAGTAAATGAGAATCACACACCAGACTTGTAAGTCGTCCAAACACGACTTGTTTGTTCTAAAATTGTCTCAAAATATTAAAGGGGTCATATGATGCGATTTCAAGTTAAGATCTAGATAAGATCTCTGAAGTTGCAAAGACTAATGTCTCAAAACCAAAGAGATATTCTTTATCAAAGTTAAGACTCTGCCATGCCCCCCTAAAACGGCTCGTTCTAACACGCCCCCACATATCTACCTCACTATGTGGAAATATTTGCATAATGCCGCCCAAATGTTCACGCAAAGAAAGGCGGCGTGGTTTCAGTAACCGCAGTTAGTGTTGAAGCAGCATGTCAGGGAGACACTGTGTGTTCCTAGGCAAAAGCAAAAGCACTTTTTTTGGCCTTTCGAAAGTAGATGCATTTAGGAATCTTTAAGATGACATCTTCTTCTTCTTTTGGAGTTTTATGGCGGTTGGCAAACAAACGATAGGTGCATTTGCGCAAGCTATCAATAGTATCGAATCGTTATAGAGTACAAAAGAGCTTGAAAATAGCCGAGCCATGCACGTGAACAGTGCGCGCGCCCTGGCCTGTGCTGGAGGAGGAGCGCGTCTAGTATGGGATCATATTCCTGCCAAATGTATTGCAGTCACGGATCAAGAAGCGTGAAACCACAATTTAAAAACGTAAGTACAATTATATTGCACAAAATTAAAAAATAAAAGCTAAGTTTTCAGAATAGCAAAAAATGGTCATGGATCAAAAAATAATGTGTAATGCAAAAATATCCGAATTGCACACAAAATCATGTTTTCCTTGGTTATATTTCTCAGTTTTTTGTGCTCTCAGACATTTTCTGCACATATTTTTATTCTTTGTATGCTTATGCTGTTTTCCCCTTGGCTCTTTATTCCACGTTCTGCACTTCTTCTTTCAAATGTTGCAGTTAGAGTTTCATGTAAATCAGGGAGGGCTAAAACATCATCATTGGTCCACTAGTTCTAGATTGACAGCTCCTACTCTAGCCAATCAGTCGAAGAGGGGCGGAAAGAAAACATACAAAATGCAGTTGCCGTCTCTCAGCAATACTGTCTAACGTTATACTTGTCACACAGAATGAGAAATATATTTATGGAAACCTTGAAGTACCCACTTTTACCTGTTTACATTTTGCTTATTTGACATTAAATGCATTATATAAGTCACTTTGGAATATAAATCATAGCACGTTCAGAAGATAAAAAATGCAACGTGTAGTCCAGAAAATACAGAATAGCAAAAAATTTTGTGCGACCCCCTGGCTTTGGGTCACAACACGGACCCCAGTTTGAAAACCCCTGCTCTTACTCATATTATCCTCTCCTAACAGTAATAACCATAACAAGACTTATAATCAGTCAGGTAAAGGCGAGCCAGGCACATCAGTCACTTTCGCAATGTGACCAGAGGAGAATAAATATAGGTGAATATAACCGCGACAGGACGCTAGGACAGCTCATTTAACGTTAACGGATCGCCAGGTAGGCATGCAGCAGTGACAGACAGACACATATAACGGTGTCCTGTATGGAAAGATGTTTCCCAGCTGACAGTTGTCCATTTTCACCTGTACAAGTGAACAGAACACTGATCCCTTGTCCAAATACCCACACTTGCAGTCTTTGCACTTGACCACTTGACTACTTATATGACGTATGTCCTGTATTTGGCCCAAGTGTTCAAGTGAGGATGAAGACCACAAGTCTGTGTAGAACTTTTCATTACCGTATGGGACACACTTACAGTGTTGTAAAAATGCAAGTGTTTGCATAGCTTTATTTTAATTTTAAAAACTTAGAATTTTAAAATCAACTTCTAAATATATGTTCAGTAGTGCCTATAACAGATGTTTAAGTTGCAGTTGCTTCTAATTAAGTTGTGAAAAGCAGTTGCAAATGTTGTACAAAATAAATGTCACCACTACGCATCTTTGCACCCAAGTGTGGGTATTTGGACAAGGCATGAGCATCGGCAGTAATGAGGTGCGTTGGAGTGACGTCACCGCCCCTCTTCGACTGATTGGCTAGAGTAGGAGCTGTCAATCTAGAACTAGTGGACCAATGATGATGTTTTAGCCCTCCCTGATTTACATGAAACTCTTAACTGCAACATTGAAAGAAGAAAGTGCAGAACGTGGAATAAAGAGCCAAGGGAAAAACAGCATAAGCATACAAAAAATAAAAATATGTGCAGAAAATATCTGAGAGCACAAAAAACTGAGAAATATAACCAAGGAAAACATGATTTTGTGTGCAATTCGGATAATTTTGCATTAATATTTTTGTGCAATATGATTTGAAATGTGTTTAAAATTTTGATTTACACGTATTATTTTTTGATCCGTGACCATTGTTTGCTATTCTGAAAACTTTGCTTTCATTTTTAAATTTTGTGCAATATAATTTTACTTGCGTTTTTAAATTTTGGTTTCTTGTTATTTTTTTATCCGCGACTGCAATACATTTGGCGGGAATATGATCCCATAGTTTAGCTGGTCCACATTTGGGGATGACGTCAGGAGACTGCTCCAGGACTTTAGAAACAATCAGACAGTAGAGTACCAATATGAATACCCTTAGCCTCACTCGGTCCTTTATAACAGTTTTCGTCAGTTTAGTCATTTGCAGCATTTGTACCGTGAATGGTGAGTAACTTAAATTCTAAGTACTTTTTTAAAATGCTTTTTCCCAGTTGAACCTTCCTAAAAGTATTGGGTGTCACTGCTTCACTGCAACTTAAATAATTGGAGCTTTTGTTGAAATGTGTTTAAAATTTTGATTTACACTTATTATTTTTTTATCTGTGACCATTGTTTGCTATTCTGAAAACTTTGCTTTAATTTTTAAATTTTGTGCAATATAATTTTACTTGCGTTTTTAAATTTTGGTTTCTTGTTATTTTTTTATCCGCGACTGCAATACATTTGGCGGGAATATGATCCCATAGTTTAGCTGGTCCACATTTGGGGATGACGTCAGGAGACTGCTCCAGGACTTTAGAAACAATCAGACAGTAGAGTACCAATATGAATACCCTTAGCCTCACTCGGTCCTTTATAACAGTTTTCGTCAGTTTAGTCATTTGCAGCATTTGTACCGTGAATGGTGAGTAACTTAAATTCTAAGTACTTTTTTAAAATGCTTTTTCCCAGTTGAACCTTCCTAAAAGTATTGGGTGTCACTGCTTCACTGCAACTTAAATAATTGGAGCTTTTGTTTTTTTTTTTTACTTTTGACAGTAGTTAAGGACATCTTTTTATCAGTTATAATACAGAAAAAACAAGGAAATGATACTGCACGTATTGTAATAGTTTCTTATTGTATGAAGAAGTTCCAATCCACTGCAGGGAGGTGGAAAAAAATTTGCACTGGACTGGATAATATAACTCACAACTACAAAATTCTGGAAAATAAATCTGTGCATTGTTGTATAGGAAAGTGCCTTTAATTTCTTGCTCAAGCATAGTCAAAGAACCCCGTTCTACATCTAATCTTAATGAGCTCAGGGGGTAACACAAATCTCCCAGCTTTTCAGGGAGAACGTTGTGTAACGTTTCACTCATCTTAGAAATGTGTGCCTAAGAGCATTTTATGTGCTCACATTCTGTTCATGCATTTTCTGTCATGTTGGTCAGCCAGAATGAAGCACAATGAATTCTGATGCTTCCCAAACAAAACATGAGCTGCCTTTAATTAGGCCGCTGTTTTGTGTTATTTGCCATTTATCTGTTTGCTTTGGATACATTTTGTGCTGCACTGATACTTACACACATAACAATAACACAATATGAGCTCTATTTCATGTTCACTTATCCAGAAATATCATAGAACCTTTCCTACCCTTGAAAAGTATACATCTGCTTTTGAAAATTCACTATGTGCATTGGCTATGCTGCTCACATCTCTTATCTTTTGTACTCTCCTGATCCTGTTGAGAAGTGTGAAAAGCGTTCTTTCACTTTTTGCTCCTTTGTATCTCTCGAAGCTTAATATGCAGGACCATTCTGTCTGTTGCCGAATTATAAAATAAGATCTAATTCCAGTATAATCTTTTGTAATTCCACTCACTCCTGCTTATGTGTGTCTTTACAGGAGATTACTGCAAGGTGAACCTGTGTCATAATGGAGGGACATGTGTGACTGGCATTGGAGAAGATCCCTTCTTCTGCATCTGTGCTGAAGGATTTGCTGGAGATACTTGCAATGCCACCGAGAATGGTCAGAAATGTTGTTTGTCTGAATTTTCCCGGTTTAATGCTCATTTGAATTTCAGATTAGGTTTACATGGATCAACCTGTTCCCTGTGGAAAGCCTTACTGCTCAGAAGTTGCTCTTTCATAGCTTAGAAAACTCAATAATAATAATAATTGTGTAGCGTAGAAATTGGAAAAAATGCTTGAATTTTGTGACGTGTTCTGACTTCTGATGGCAGATTTTGGTGTCTTGGCAAATTAACACAGTTTGAAACCTTGTTAAGATTTTATTTTATTATTTAATTTTTTTAAGAAACAAGGAGACATCAGATTACTCCCTTTCATTAGAAGAAAAATACGAGAGACATGGGAATGAGTCTCCATTTGATTTCCTTAAATCTCATTGCTGTCTAGGAAGAACAATTCAAATTATCTCAAGTAGGCCCTGTTCCAGAATCAAATCACTGAGGGTGTTTCTGAAATTAGTGAGCGTGCTCTAGCTTCATCTATTTGGGAATATCGTATTTTTGTCCCATTCATTGCTATGGTTATCACTATGTCACTCATTGCAATTATGAGAGTGAATCCTGTATTTATATGTGGATATCACTCCAGTGTGTATGTGGCCATTGGTCCTCTTAGCAGCGTGAAAAACAAAACTTTAATTCAAATTCTCAATGGATTATATATAGTCTAGAAAGTGCGCAAAGAGCACTCCCTTTATAATCGCTAAAATGTTGACACTCATCTTAGTTCACTGTGATCTTACAAAGAGTTCCATTATAATTAATGAAGCTCTTTCCACTGCACAGTGAATATCTTATTTACAGCAGGTTAACACTTTGTTTGTTATAATGAGATGATTCGCGAGCATGCATAACTCAGCACTTAACAAAAATTCCCGCATTTTGAGCAGGATTCTAACTGACTTAAATACCTCTGATTGGCCATTGCAGATATGTCAGTGATTAGCTACATTACTCATCCCTGCAAAAACACGTTGTAAATAGAAACCTTTGATGCAAACACAAATACGCACAACGTTTCGCCAGTATCCTATTATTACATCTTCGACTGAGGATGCTTTTTTTTTTCTTTCCTATGGGTTTGTTCATATTTTGATACTGACATCAGAACTTTTAACTGTTTCCACTGCAGGTCCTTGTATTCCAAACCTGTGTAAAAACGATGGGACATGTGAGGTGATCGCTAACTCCAGAAGAGGAGACGTTTTTAATGAATATGTGTGCAAATGCCAACCTGGGTTTGAAGGTGCACACTGCCATATCAGTAAGTTTTGTACCACTTATTTCAGATTTACATCAGACCCTCAATATATGTGCACTAATTAAAAGGGTTTAGAGGGAAGTTTGTATAAAAAAGAAAACTTAAATTTGAACTGAACAAGCACACACATTGGGCCTTATTCATAAAAAATAGAAGAACACATTTCTGTGTAAATACACAATAATACCAATTATTTGTCCCATTTTATTAAAACCAACAACTTACCACGTCACGTCTTTAAAATTGGAACATTTTGTTTTCTATCGGCGGCGCCGAATGCGTGTGTGTGTGTGTGTGTGTGTGTGCCAGTTTGCCACATGTGTATCCAGGCCTTGAGCAGAATTATGTTTTTTGTGTTCTTCAATCCTCTTAACAGTTTAGGAGCAAAACAACTTATGTTGTTGAGACATGTGTTTTCTTTTCTATTATAGCCTTTCTGCGTTGTTTTGTGAATAAAAGAATAAGAAACACAGCATTTCTGCATGTATCAGCTAGAATTATTTGGCTGTTAGTTTTGCAATACCTTTCCAAGGCCAAACGGGGGGAAAACAGCCTACAGAATAATACACTATGTTTAAATGTTTGGGATTTTAAGATTTATTTATTTATTTATTTTAAGAAATCTCTAATGATTACCAAGGCTGCATTTACAGTATTAAAAAAATACTGGAAAAGTGGTAATATTGTGAAATACTAATAAAATAAAATAAATAATAATAACTTTTTTCTGTTATGTATACAGTATATATATATTAAAACAGAAAACATCACATGAATAAATTACATGATACATACACACACACACACACACACACACACACACACACATATATATATATATATATATATATATATATATATATATATATATATATATATATATATATATATATGAAATATTTTCATACATATTTTTGTATTAAACTGTGATACTTTTTTCAGCAATTATTTGAAATAGAAATATTTTGTAACATTATTAATGTCTTACCTGTCACTTTTGATAAATGTAATGCATCATTGGTGAATAAATTTATTAATTTCTTCAACAAATAAGTAAATAAAATAACTGACCCCAAATCTTTGAACGGTCGTGTACACAGTGAAAAATTATATTTGTCTTACAATTTATGTTATTTATACCATATATTTCTGAGAGAAGAAGTTTGCCCCCTAGTGAAGATGTATAATAACTGCAATAAGCCAGTTTTAATTGTAATTAATAATTGTACGTTAATAAGAAGAAAATTATACAAACAAACATCCTGTAAAGTATTTAATTTCAGTAAATGTGCTGTAGTTGCAATTTGAAGCAGTTTACTGGAAATGAGGACTGGACTTAGACCATCCCACCCTGTGCTCCACACAGAATTCTCTGTCCCCTTTGAGGAAAATTTGAGATCCTGCAGCCACCTGCGTGAGCGCACAGGTTGAGCATTGTGCCACCCCACACCTCAGTCACCACACTTATAATTATACATACTTCAGCTGCAGTTACATGACATCTGTCCCATTACAACTTTCCAAATTACTGTATTATTTTTGGTGTTCTTACACAGATGTGAATGACTGTGCAAACCAGCCTTGTAAGAATGGAGGCCTGTGTCGTGATCTGGATGGGGACTACACCTGCCACTGCCCTTCTCCATACGTTGGGAAGCAATGCCAGCTACGTGAGTTTTTATATACAACCAATACTTTCCTGGTGGCAGTGTTTAATTTAGCCTCTTAAAACCTACATTTTAGGGTGCCATATCGTTGAGTTTTGAGTGTTTCGTTACAAATCCAGAGTATCTGAGGTACAGCTAATGACTAAACCAAGTAGCAGTATGCCAGGCAAGACAATATAAAGTAGACTTCATGCCCTATTAAATGGTACTCACACTATATTATGGTGCAGGCTGCATATCTCTGTTGGGGATGGAGGAAGGTGGAATCATAGAGTCCCAGATCTCGGCTTCCTCTGTACACTCTGGCATTCTGGGGCTGCAGCACTGGGGACCGGAGCTCGCACGCCTCAATAACCAGGGCCTTGTGAATGCCTGGAGCTCCGCACCCCAAGACAAGAACCCCTGGATTGAGGTTCGCCAATCAGCCCATTTACTCAAACCTTTTTATTTTTGTTGTTGCATAAAAAATGTTCTTTCATAAAATGGTCCTCTTTACTACAAGAAAAAAAATCCAAAACAATAGCTGGGGGATCCTTTTGACATGTTTGTGTGACAACTGACAACTTAATAAAATAGGACAAAGTGATTCAGTTTCTTTTTGTATACATCTGAAAAGATGTTCACACTTCCTGTCCATGATTTTCTCATTTTAGGTTAACATGCAGAAGAAGATGCATCTCACTGGAATCATCACCCAAGGAGCCAGCCGCATGGGGACAGCTGAGTTTGTCAAGGCTTTCAAAGTTGCATCCAGCTTTGATGGCAAATCATACACAGTGTACAGAGTGGATGGCCAGAGAAAAGACAAAGTAAGAAACATTACAAATCTTGTCTTCCTTATGTGTTAAAAGCTCATATTTATCCTCTTGACTATGACTTTTATTTTTTTCAGGTGTTTTGGGGAAATACAGATAACGATGGAACTACGACAAACATGTTTGACCCTCCCATTGTGGCCCAATATATTCGCGTAATTCCTGTGGTGTGCCGTACAGCTTGTACTCTCCGGATGGAACTTGTGGGCTGTGAGCTTAATGGTAATTGCAGTTGAATTAACTATGAATCATTATTTTTATACTAATTTTTCATTTTTACTCATTCTTAGCCATTTAGCACTCTCATTTTCCCTAATATGACAGTGCACTCCAGAACAATTGGTTGCACCGATCCGCTGGGCATGAAGTCCCGTCTCATCTCTGACGTGCAGCTTACAGCATCTAGTAGCTTCCGCACCTGGGGTATTGATGCCTTTACCTGGTATCCCTTCTACGCTCGCCTGGACAAACAAGGCAAGACTAACGCTTGGGCGGCAGCGAGCAACAACCGCTCAGAGTGGCTCCAGGTGAGACTGTGAGACGTTGTGTCTAATTTTTTTTTACAAAGCTGTGAAAAATAGTCCTTGAAATCATAATTCAGTTATGCTATAAAACCATCGTAACATGATATGTATAGATCTGTCTAAAGACAGTAATAACTCTCTAAATTTATAATTTACACTATCCTATTTTTTTAGCTTTGATATCAATTATTTTGGTATTTGCAGAATGTAGACTGACATTTGTCTCTTATGTTTTAATGTGTTTTCTCTCATGTCACAGGTGGCTTTGGAGAAACCTAAAAGAATCACAGGCATCATTACTCAGGGAGCAAAAGACTTCGGAGTTGTGCAGTTTGTTTTAGCCTTTAAGATTGCATACAGTGATGATGGACAATCTTGGAGCATTGTGGAGGATCAAATAACGAGAACAGATAAGGTCACAGAAATGACAAAGATCTTTATTTTAAATATACACTACTGTTCGGTTTGAGGTTAGTATGTAAGACTTTAAGTGACTGTTTTAATGTTTTTGAGTCTCTTATGCCTGCCCAGGCTGATCAAAAAAAAAATAATAATAATTTTAAACACAAATTTTGTGAAATATTATTGCAATTTTAAATAACTGTTTTCTATTTCAGTATATTTTAAAGTATAATTTATTCTTGTGATGACAAAGCTGAATTTTCAGCAGCCATTACTCCAGTCTTCAGTGTCACATGATCCTTCAGAAATCATTCTAATCTGCTGATTTTCAAAGCTGTGCTGCTTAATAGTTTTGTGGAAACTGTGATACTTTTTTTCAGGATTATTTGCTGAAAAGAAAGTTCAGAAGGATATTATTTATTTGAAATACATATTTGTGACCCTGGACCACAAAACCAGTCATAAGGGTCAATTTTCTGAAAGCTGAATAAATAAGCTGATTTCCATTGATGTATGGTATGTTAGGATGGGACAATATTTGGCCGAGATACAACTATTTGAAAATCTGTAATCTGAGGGTGCAAAAAAAATCGAAATATTGAGAAAATCGCCTTTAAAGTTTTCCAAATGAAGTTCTTAGCTATGCATATTACTTATCAAAAATTAAGTTTAATATATTTACTGTAGGAAATTTACCAAATATCTTCATGGAACATGATCTTTACTTAATATCCTAATGATTTTTGGCATAAAAGAAAAATTAATAATTTAGACCCATACAATGTATTTTTGGTACAATGTATTGCTACAAATATACCCCAGCGACTTAAGACTGGTTTTGTGGTCCAGGGTCACATTTTTGCAACAACGAGAAAGGATCAACGTAATGTAACCTTGCTGAATAAGCCAACACAAACCTTGCTGAATACAATTATACAGAAGAAAAAAAAGAAAAAAAACGTAGCTGCCCCAAACTTTTGAATGGTAAATTTCTTAGTGTTTTGAGTTGGGTGTAGGGTGCAATATCACATGCGTTTGTTTACTGGGTACAGTAAATCTCTCTGTATGAACTTTGAGCTCTACACATTGGGATCTGGATAGTCAGAGGAAATTAAAGAATTATCAAGCTACTAACTCAGCTTTAGTTATTTATATATAACAAAATCCTCAAAGCACACAGTTCACAGTTCATTCAGTTCTAGTCATTTCATCTGAATAAATGAAATGTTTTTTTTCCTGCAGATTTTCCAAGGCAACATAGACAACAACACGCACAAAAAGAATTTGTTTGAGCCTCCGTTCTTTGCCCGATTTGTGCGGTTTCTGCCCTGGGAGTGGCATGAGCGAATAACTGTACGCATGGAGCTGCTGGGCTGTGATGATTAGTGGACTTGCTGAAGGCTGCACACTGCTACTCTCTGCACTGGTTTCACCTGAAGTGTGTCTGCTGGTTGTAGCTGATGTTTTGTTTCAGTATGCATTAGCTTCATCTGTATTGCTTTGTATTTTATTGTTAATCAATGCCATTATTTTGATGTGCTTTGAAAAGGCCTTGGCTGTTTGTAGCCATTGGAAGTCAATGGCTGTTTGGTTACCAACACTATTCAAAACATATTATTTTGTGTTCAAAAGCTGAACTAATACAGGTTTGGAACAACTTGAGGGTAAGTAAATGATGGCAAAATGTTAAGAACCGTTAACCTGTAAGGAAAAATAGACTCATTCTAATTAATAAAATTGTCTCAATGCAACTGACCATTCTTGTATTTCAAAATGTTACTTTTATTCCTCATCTTTGGTCACCAAGGTGATTCAACCTGTCTGCCTTCTAGCACATGTACAGCACTGATCTGTAATGGAAAAAGGTCAACTTGTATTCTGTGTATCTCTTTTTGTTGTTGTTGTTAGCACACAAAAGCTGTCTCATTTTTTTTTTCTGAAATGTTCTTGATATATGGGTCTGTCAGAAACAGTGCTGAAGTTAAATTAGATCAATCTTTAAATTAATCTTCCTATTGAAATGTCTTCATTCTCACTTTAAAGGTTTAACATAAGCATGGTAGAGCTGCTCAAATCAATTGACCTATATTTGCACTGCAGTTGCTCTACACTTTATACTATAGTTTATATAATTGCTCAATCAATTTTATTTGAGTCAATAGAATTGTACAATTGTGCAAATATTGAGTGATTTTATCTTTTGAAAAACACGTTGTCTTTAACAATATGAATAAACATGTTCAATATTTGTGCTTCTCCTTACATGTAGTTTAAACTGAAGAAGAAATTAAGTATGTGCTTTGTCAGAAATAAAAATGGATGTTAGACTAGGTGATTAGTCTTCTCATCTCATAAAAAAAAACCCTGGTAGAATTTGGAGCATAGCTTCAATAAATGTCATGATGAAATCAGCTTTAGATTCCCTTCTTCAAGTCAAAAGAATTGAGTGTATTGCCAGATTACCGGCTAAGGTTTATTACACAGTAATATATGACTTCAGCACCTGGAATCTCTAAACAGTATGTGCTTTTGGGGTCTGTTTTTGAGGTTTTCACTAATAACAGCAAACAGGTGATATAAACGTCACAATAATCCACAAGTAATTCACATGGCTCTAATCCATCAATTAACATATTGTGAAGCGAAAAGCTGTGTGTTCGTAATAAACAAATCCATCGTTAATGTGTTTTTAACTTCAAGTTCTCAATCCATATTGATTTCTCAAGTGAAAAAGTTGTCTTGTCTGAATCAGGAGAGAGCTATGCACAGATCAAGCACCGTTTATAAGCAAAAACAGTCCAAAACAGTTCTAAACAAATATATTGGTGAATTTTAACATGAAAGGACAACATTTCCACTGGAGGAATTGTTATTATGGATTATGGACCGGTATTTTGGCCAGAAGCAGAGGTTTAAAGGTTAAAATGTCTTAATGATGGATTTCTCTCTCTCCTTTTCCTTATATTTTATTTTGTCTAGAGAATTATATTTGCATTCTATTCTATATTATATTATATTCTACTTATATTTGTATTCTAGTAGTGACTTTTATTGTGCATTCATGTATCTGTATTTTTTCAGTATTTTACTTTTTACTCCCTGTTCCTTACAAAAACACAAGATATTAATAGATGGACTGGAGTCGGGTGGATTACCTGTGGGTTGTTAAGTTTTTATCAGCTGTTTAGAAACTCATTCTGACGGCACCCATTCACTGAAGAGGATCCATCAGTGAGCAAGGGTTACATTTCTCCAAATCTGTTCCAATGGAGAAACAAACTAATTTACATCTTGGTGAGTACATTTTCAGCAAATGTTCATTTTTGGAAGAACTATTCCTTTAATTATATATGGCTTTTATGAGGAAAAAGATGAACACACCCAGTCAAAGATGGATGTGCTATGTTTATGCTATGAGATATCAATAAATAGATCTCATTTCACATTATGTTCTTCAACTCAGACATAACAAAGTAATAACATCCTTGTGAAAGTTGTTTTCTTAATCTCTCTGGTTAGGTATTAGAAATAAATAAGATTATGTGTAAATGTCTTGTATGGCCATAAACGTTTCTAGGCTTACATCTCCTCTCCATAAACTAGATGAAAATAATACTTCACATTTCGTCACATCATTTACGTTGTGCATGTACCTAAAATTTGGCTTACTAGCAAAGACAAAAACGTTGTTGTGTCCTTCAAAGAGGAAAAACTGGGTACATCCAACTCTTAAAACACTAGCTGGTCTAAAAGGAAAACCTTCAGACATGAATGCTGCTGGTCTTTGATCTTTTGGTCTCTGATATTTTGCTGCAGGGATGAGATGAATCACTGCATCATAGACGATGGCCAATAACTGACATCTGATGTATAGGGGGTAGCAATATACAAGATGGGCACTTATCTTGAAAATAACACTTTTTAATCACAAATGCTTCTTAATTCAGTGTCTTGGAAGATAAATATAAAACTTGTACTGATTTAAAAACGACTCTCTAGCTCTTCAATTCTCCTTAGAGATGTTTCTCCAATGTTGTTGCAATAGATTTATGAGAGTGATGAACAGAAGATTCCTTTTGCAGTCCAGATTTGTCCTCTATAAATACAAAAACAAAATAAATCATGTCAGTACCTTTTACATAGTAATGTATGCAATATATGTTTTAAAAAAACTGCATATTCAATGAAGATTAATGGAATAGTTATTTGAATTCTTATTTTAAATCTTATATGATTAAATATGATTAAAATATGACATAATTTGTGACCCTGGACCACAACACCAGTCTTAAGTGTCAATTTTTCGAAATAGAAATTTATACATCATCTGACAGTTGAATAAATAAGCTTTCCATTGATGTATGGTTTGTTAGGATGGGACAATATTTGGCCGAGATACAACTATTTGAAAATCTGGAATCTGAGGGTGCAAAAAAAAATCTAAATATTGAGAAAATCACCTTTAAAGTTTTCCAAATGAAGTTCTAGGCTATGCATATTACTAATCAAAAATTAAGTTTTGATTTATTTATGGTAGTAAATTTACAAAATATCTTCATGGAACATGAACTTTACTTAATATCCTAATGATTTTTAGCATAAAATAAATATCGATAATTTTGACCCATACAGTGTATTTTTGGCTATTGCTACAACTTAAGACGTTCGGGATCAGTACGATTTTTTTAAAGAAATGAATAAATTTATTCAGCAATGACAAATTAAATTGATCAAACGAGACAGAAAAGACATTTGCATTATTATAAAAATTAATTATGGTAAAGCAGCACAACCATTTACAACATTGAAAAAGAAGAAACATTTTTCTTGAGCACCAAATCAGGATATTAGAATGCTTTCTGAAGGATCACGGAGTAATAGCTGCTGAAAATTCAGCTTTGCCATAACATTAATAAATTCTACATTAAAATATATGAAAATAGCAGTTATCTCAAATTTTAATAATATTTCACAATATTACTGTTTTACTGTATTTTTCATCAAAAGATGGTGAGCATAAGATGGTAGCCTTGGTGAGCATAAGACACTTTTTCATAAACATTTCAAAATCTTACCAACCCCAAACTTTTTAATGGTCGGGTAATGGTAATGTTTTTGGTAATGCTTGAGTAGCTTACTGGCTATGCATCGCACTTGCGTCTTCTCCCACTGTCCATCTGCCATGCAGCGGATCACAGGTAGGTGGCGCTGTGTGAAGTTTTCACTGCACTGGTATCTGATTATAGAATTCACCTGGTAGCGATCCTTCTTGTTTCCAAACATCCTGGCATTCTCCACTTTAGGAGGTTGGTCACATGTCACTGAAAGAAGGGGAAGTCAAATTGAAACTGAATCTGAAAAATGGTCTCAACAGTGATTTGTTGGTGTGCATACCTGAACCTGTTTTGCATGTGAAAGGTAAGTGGTAGTTGCATGGCACGTCATTCCATTGGCCATTTTCATGCCAGATCATTACGACACAGTCTTCACCAGATTTAAAATAATTGTCGGGTTGGTTAGGCCTCCAGCTCTCATATTGCTAAGGAGAGGAAGAGAAAAATCCAGCATTGTGTCTGAATCAGATAGCTCTATTATTTGAAATACAGCTTCTTAAGAGTCAGGCTTTACCAGTGAGGTCCCATCTGACCAGCGGAAGTCATTTTCCACCATTTTATCGTTCAGTCCAATCCACTGATAGTCGTGTGCATATGCTGCTACAAGAGGGTGATTGTTTGTAATCAGAAAAACAACACAGATACTTAGAAACTTCAACACACGTACAGACACACACTCACCGTTGATGAAGGCTTGCTCCTCTGGAGTGATAATGCTCACCAGGTGAGCGTTTAAGTCTCGACAGCGCTGCTCAGCATCCAGCCAGGTCTCTCTCGTCGAGAAATGCAAGTAACAGTTGCCCTGAAACTTAGTCCAGCCCTCCTCACAGCGGTGCACATCTGAAGCAACATCACATGGCATTTTCACCAGTTTCACAAGATATTCTTTTTAGACCACTTTTGCAAGATGTAATTGTCCCTGACACAGGCTTAGTTCATCCAAAAATGAAAAATCTGTCTTAATTTACTCATCCTCATGTTCCACACCCATAAGACTTTTGTTCATTGAAACACAAAGATATTTCTGATGAAACAGAGATTTCTGTCCCTCCATTTAAAGTCCATACCACCAAAAACGATAACAAACCTGATTCTCTCACATTTTGTGGTGTCAGTGGAACAGACTTTAAATGGAGGGACAGAAATCTCTCAGGTTTCATTAAAAAATATCTTCATTTGTGTTTCAAAGATGAATGAAAAGCTTATGGGCTTGGAACAACATGAGGGTGTATAAATGATGACACAGCTTTCATCTGTGGATTAACTATCCCTTTAATACTTGGTGTACATGCAAATAAGAAACAAATGACAAATGTATGATGGAATGTGCTGAGGGATTTGGATAAAGTCACTTTATCTTTCAGTGTTTAAAACCAGTGTTTTAAGAAAGTGACAGCCTATGCCTTTTACGTGGCATAATATCAGCTTATCAGATAAAGAGATTTTCCACAATCGCAAGTATTCCAGAAAACAGATGATTAAATTCCATATATTAAGCCAAGAGAAACATCCAGCAGAAAATGAACAAACGAGCTATTTCTAGTCGCTGCTCAGATGGAAAATATCAACTGGTCACTTTCTGTTTACCTCAGCCTCTTCCTTTCCGAGTTACTAAAAAGGTTGAAGTTTCTTGCTATATTTTTACAGTACCTGCAAAAGCATCATTTCATCCTGAATGACGCTGATATTTAACTGCAACAGATTTCCATAAAAGGGTTTGTCCAAAGGACTCTCTCACAAAAAAAAAAAAAAACTCACCAATCCCTACTCAACACACACATATATTCTGTTTCCAGGGACTTTCATTCAGCGACATCTAGAGTTGTATGTCACCTTTAAGGTTGTTTTTGAAAGACTGTTAGTAGAACTAGCTGAAGCAACCTCATACCAATCTCACAGCGGTCTCCTTCGTAGCTGGGCAGACATAAGCATTTGAAAGTGTCCTCCACCTCCACACAGGTGGCTCCATTGGTACAAGGATTTGAATGGCAAACATCAACCTCTGCAAATAAAGGTTTAGCGATTAAAGCTGACTACTATGAAGATGCCCTGAGGAAGGCCAAGCTTAGCAGAGAGCATCATTGAATCAGAACTCTTGGAGCTGCTTCTAAACAAATCTCTTGAGTAATTATAGCATCAATATTTTGATAAGCTTAGAAGAGAGACCTAGTAAATTGTGGTACATTGAAGGAGAGATCAGAGTCAGTTGTAGTTACTGTAAGAGCGCTGACCTGGATCAGTTTTTATGCCTCTCATGCGGAGAGCAGATCAGCACTCTTACAGTTCCAGAAACAGAAGCAGAATTTTTAGAGTTCAGATTCATATGAAGATGATGGACGAGAAGTATGAGCATGTACCAGGTGTTAGAAGGCGTGCTGATTAAACCAGACTGCAGCAAAGGCACAGCTGAACAAAATCAACACAGGTGAACAGTCACTGAAAAGACATCTGGACACAAGAGCGGAGTAAGTTGAGAAGTATTTAATCACACACGAGACACATAACCTGTAAAATGGACTGTGAGGACATCAATCGGGCAAGAGCAAACTGAACGGAAGTTATTCACAAATAAAATGCAAAAACATTGAGACACTTAGAGACATTTGATTAATTTGAAGATAAATATGAGCCTAAAAAGCAACAACTGCTGTTATAGGCAAACAGGATGGCTGTTCATAATAAAAATGTTTGTCAAAATGTCCAATAATCAAAATCCAACATTTTAAAAAGTAATCATAATTTATGTGACTGATTCAATAACTGGGTCAATTCAGTCTGACTCACCAAATTGGCACTCTTCTCCATGCAGTCCAGGTAGGCAGTGACAAACGCCCACCCCATCCTTCACTGAACACACCCCAGCTCCACAAGGGTTTGGTTCACATGGGTTAAGAGAAGCTATTATGTTTTTTGAGAAAGAAAGAGAGCAACAGATTTAAACATGATGAAAAGGAGCAGTTTATGTCTCAAGAGGTGAGAAGAAATACATTTCCATATGATGCACCAATGAGTTAACCATTATCTTCATGCTGATAACAATAAATAAGCAATATAAAAATTGTATACACAACAAATCATTAATACTGGCCAATACCGGATATGGTACTGATATGTCATGTCTCTCTATTTTATATTTTAACAAATTTTACGCAATGGGAATCTCACCATTCACAACAAGTCCTTCCGTGACAGAAGGGCTCTGTAAAGAAGTAGGTTCTGTGGTAGAAGACAAAGCTGCAGAAGTAACAGTTTCAAGTTTACTCGTGGTCCCCTCTGGTTCTGAATAAAGCACTGGAGATCCTGCAGCATCACTGTACAGGCCAGATGGCCCTTGAGCAGATAGTACGGCTGAAGGAGCATCACTGGAGTTCACTGTTGGCGTATCTTCAGTAACTGGGATCCATTCGTGTTCTTGTCCACTACCATAGGCACTTTGGTCGTCTCCACTCCCTGAGGACACCCTGACGATGTCACTGTACTCCACCTCCCCCCTTCCTAGCTCCATGCTTTGGAAGGGCTTGTTGGACATTTCCACCATGTCATTATTAGTGAAGAAGATGATCTCACCGCTAGCTGATTCCCCTGATCTTTCTCCTGATTCAATGGCATAGCCTCCAGATGTAAATCCACTTCCCTCACCAGACCTAAACAGCAAAAGTCCAGAAACTTCCTGCTCATGAGATTGTTCTTTGAGATCAATGAAGCCCGACCCCAAAAATGTCATACCAGAAAACTCTAAACCACTCCCAGAGCCACTGTGAACACCACTATCTCCAGATATATCACCACTCATCCCAGAGATATCACCGCTCACCCCAGACTCTGAGATATGTCCTGATCTGCTAAAATCCAAATGGCTTCCACCCAGCTCTTGTTCTATTAAATGTGGAGCAGTGGACACCTTCAACCATGAGCTATCCACCATGACACCACTGCCATCGATGAATGAAATGCCACTGGATCCTCCAGAGGGAAAAAATCCTGATGGGAAACCACTGAATCCTGAGGATTCCTCACTGGAACCTGATCCTGAAGAGATGCCAGAAAGGTATCCACTCTCGTCGCTTTCTCCTGAGCTGCTGGAAAAGTCTGAGGTAGAGCCACTCTCTTCAAAGCTATACCCTGACCAACTCCCTGATCCCGATCCAGAGGTGTCCAGTCCGAAGAGGCCTGAGCCCTGGCCAAGGGGGAAGGTGAGGATCTCTGTGCCTGCCTCCCCAGCCTCCTTAGGTCGTCCTGAAGCTGATCCAACTCCTGATAAAACAGAGTCACTTCCTGAAAAGGTCACTTGGATATCTAAGCCACTGCCAGATCCTGATGATCCTTCAGACCCGCTTGGCAGATCCCCACTACCACTGGCCCCAGAGGAGTCAACATTTGACACAAATGACCCAATCGGCTGATCCCCGCTCCCACTGCCCAACAGATCGCCAGTGCCACTGGCTCCAGAAGAGTCTCCACTCGAAACAAATGACCCACTCGGCTGATCCCCGCTTGCACTGCTCAACAGATCATCAGTGCTACTGGCCCCAGAAGATTCTCCACTTAAAACAAATGACCCACTCGGCTGATCCCTGTTCCCACTGCTCAACAGATTGTCAGTGCCACTGGCCCCAGAAGAGTCTCCACTTGAAACAGGTGATCCACTCAGCTGATCCCCGCTCCCACTGCTCAACAGATCATCGGTGCCACTGGCCCCAGAAGAGTCTCCACTTGAAACAGGTGATCCACTCAGCTGATCCCCGCTCCCACTGCTCAAAGGATCATCGGTGCCACTGGCCCCAGATGCGCCAGATCCAGAGGGTTCTGCAGGGATAGTAGTAGAAGTGGTTCCATCTGAGGAAACACAGATACACATAGAATCTAAGGTACTGCACCAAAATTAACACTCATCATGCATTAAAATACATTAAAAATACAATTCATCTGTACAATGACTTAAAGTGATAGTTCACTCAAAAATTAAAATTCTGTCATCTTACCCTCATGCCATTCCAAACATGTATGACTTTATTTCTATGAAAAACAAGATATTTTGAAGAATGTTTGGTGACCCTTGACTTCCATTGTATATGGACACAAATAACATTGAGACTTTTCTCAGAATATCTTTTCATGTTCCACAGGAAAAAAAAGTGAGTAATACACATAAGGGTGAATAAATGATGAAAGAAATTTCATTTTTCCCTTTAAGGCCACATCTTAAGAGTTTTGCGCTGCATCGTATGTTCACACTTTTCGAATCGATTCAATATCTGCACAGGTGTTTAAGCTTTAGCGGCATTTCTCATATAGGGTTAGGGTTAGGATTATGTTATACTTTGCATCCTGCCTCATGACTGCTATTGTGTAAATATTTGCAAACAAAAGCACATTTTACACAGATTAGCACTGATGTTTTAACTAAATCTTAGTGCTCTGCTGTATTAATCCTGAATTTAATGCCAACCATTTCCTTCATCATGAAGGTAAGACTTGCATCACTTGCATCGTCTCTGCTCTGATCTCAGTTCAGTCTGTTTTCTGTAACCTCCTTGTTTCCATGGCTCTCGATGCTTATTAGGGTCATTTGTCTATTGCTAGATACATCAAAAACTAAATGGAAGTATATATATATATATATATATATATATACACATTTCATAGAATTTCAATTTCGTAGAACATTAGACTTCTGACATTTCTCAGAAATGTGTTTGGTTTATTGAAAGGCTGACAGTTTGTGGAAACAAGGTTTGTGTTTGTCAGTGGTAACTGTCAAGACATTGACTGTTTGCGGTATTAGTGCTGTATTTCTGTGGATTATACTGTAGAATGTGCTTTATTTGTGCTGTATTGCTTTATTGTGTAGTCATCTTGTGTAATGGAGTGTGATAGAGGGCTCCTAATCATTTGTCTTTTCCCCATTTTATTCACTTGTTTACAATCCTGTCATTTACTCACTCTTATATTGTTCCAAACCTGTATGACTTTCTATGGAACGTTCTGAGAAATGGTATTTATTTTTCATTCAGTGGAAGTCAGTTGTCACAAACTCTATAGTTGCTAACGTTCTTCAAAATGTCTTTTGTCTTCCACCAAAGAAAGTCATACAGGTTTGAAACGACATGAAGGTGAGTAGATGATGATGGACTCATTTTTGGGTGTACTATCCTTTTGAAATCATCTTGAACATACAGATCCTCATCTTAAGGGATAGTTCACCCAAAAAATTAAGGTTACACTTTATTTCGATAGTCAACTTTAGACATTAAACTAATAATTCAACAATTTCTCCGCCGCCATTCAGAGAGTACCACGACGCATGCGTGTCTCTCTCGTGAATGTGCATCGACTGACACGAAAAAGAAGAAATTGTTGAATAAAATCGTTATTTCTGTTTTCTTTGCACACAAAAAGTATTCTTGTAGCTTCATGACATTACGGTTAAACTACTGATGTCACATTAATTATTTTAACAATGTCCTTACCACGTTTCTGTGCCTTGAACGTGGTATTTACGGTGCTGTCTATGCAGGGTCAGAAAGCTCTGACTGGACCGTAAGCTCTGATTTCATCAAAATTATATTAATTTGTGTTCCAAAAATGAACGAAGGTCTTACGGGTCATGAGGGTGAGTGATATGACAGAATAAAAATTTTTGGCTGAAATATCCCTTTAAACTCTGAATCAAACCAAATCCTTATTATCTGAATTGTTCTTATTTTCAGTTAAAATTAACAATACTGACGGCAACAAGAGCAGCAGACAAAATGCTAATTCATTCTCTGACAGTAGGTGGCGCTTTTGGACAAGAAGGTGGCATTTTTTTACAGCATTAACCATGGTTACCTCTGTAAACTAAGCAGCACTGCACATATGCACCTTATTTTATTAGGCCTTATAAGGAGATAACATGAAAAATTGTCAACAAAAGCTTTCTGAAGTTAATTTCCCCCTTTCCAATGTCGACTAGCAGCAGCAGTTTTGATTAATAGACTAGCCTTGCACTTGTGGTGTAATGGACTTTAAATGGAGGGACAGAAATCTCTCAGGTTTCATTAAAAAATATCTTCATTTGTGTTTCAAAGATGAATGAAAAGCTTATGGGCTTGGAACAACATGAGGGTGTATAAATGATGACACAGCTTTCATCTGTGGATTAACTATCCCTTTAATACTTGGTGTACATGCAAATAAGAAACAAATGACAAATGTATGATGGAATGTGCTGAGGGATTTGGATAAAGTCACTTTATCTTTCAGTGTTTAAAACCAGTGTTTTAAGAAAGTGACAGCCTATGCCTTTTACGTGGCATAATATCAGCTTATCAGATAAAGAGATTTTCCACAATCGCAAGTATTCCAGAAAACAGATGATTAAATTCCATATATTAAGCCAAGAGAAACATCCAGCAGAAAATGAACAAACGAGCTATTTCTAGTCGCTGCTCAGATGGAAAATATCAACTGGTCACTTTCTGTTTACCTCAGCCTCTTCCTTTCCGAGTTACTAAAAAGGTTGAAGTTTCTTGCTATATTTTTACAGTACCTGCAAAAGCATCATTTCATCCTGAATGACGCTGATATTTAACTGCAACAGATTTCCATAAAAGGGTTTGTCCAAAGGACTCTCTCACAAAAAAAAAAAAAAACTCACCAATCCCTACTCAACACACACATATATTCTGTTTCCAGGGACTTTCATTCAGCGACATCTAGAGTTGTATGTCACCTTTAAGGTTGTTTTTGAAAGACTGTTAGTAGAACTAGCTGAAGCAACCTCATACCAATCTCACAGCGGTCTCCTTCGTAGCTGGGCAGACATAAGCATTTGAAAGTGTCCTCCACCTCCACACAGGTGGCTCCATTGGTACAAGGATTTGAATGGCAAACATCAACCTCTGCAAATAAAGGTTTAGCGATTAAAGCTGACTACTATGAAGATGCCCTGAGGAAGGCCAAGCTTAGCAGAGAGCATCATTGAATCAGAACTCTTGGAGCTGCTTCTAAACAAATCTCTTGAGTAATTATAGCATCAATATTTTGATAAGCTTAGAAGAGAGACCTAGTAAATTGTGGTACATTGAAGGAGAGATCAGAGTCAGTTGTAGTTACTGTAAGAGCGCTGACCTGGATCAGTTTTTATGCCTCTCATGCGGAGAGCAGATCAGCACTCTTACAGTTCCAGAAACAGAAGCAGAATTTTTAGAGTTCAGATTCATATGAAGATGATGGACGAGAAGTATGAGCATGTACCAGGTGTTAGAAGGCGTGCTGATTAAACCAGACTGCAGCAAAGGCACAGCTGAACAAAATCAACACAGGTGAACAGTCACTGAAAAGACATCTGGACACAAGAGCGGAGTAAGTTGAGAAGTATTTAATCACACACACGAGACACATAACCTGTAAAATGGACTGTGAGGACATCAATCAGGCAAGAGCAAACTGAATGGAAGTTATTCACAAATAAAATGCAAAAACATTGAGACACTTAGAGACATTTGATTCATTTGAAGATAAATATGAGCCTAAAAAGCAACAACTGCTGTTATAGGCAAACAGGATGGCTGTTCATAATAAAAATGTTTGTCAAAATGTCCAATAATCAAAATCCAACATTTTAAAAAGTAATCATAATTTATGTGACTGATTCAATAACTGGGTCAATTCAGTCTGACTCACCAAATTGGCACTCTTCTCCATGCAGTCCAGGTAGGCAGTGACAAACGCCCACCCCATCCTTCACTGAACACACCCCAGCTCCACAAGGGTTTGGTTCACATGGGTTAAGAGAAGCTATTATGTTTTTGAGAAAGAAAGAGAGCAACAGATTTAAACATGATGAAAAGGAGCAGTTTATGTCTCAAGAGGTGAGAAGAAATACATTTCCATATGATGCACCAATGAGTTAACCATTATCTTCATGCTGATAACAATAAATAAGCAATATAAAAATTGTATACACAACAAATCATTAATACTGGCCAATACCGGATATGGTACTGATATGTCATGTCTCTCTATTTTATATTTTAACAAATTTTACGCAATGGGAATCTCACCATTCACAACAAGTCCTTCCGTGACAGAAGGGCTCTGTAAAGAAGTAGGTTCTGTGGTAGAAGACAAAGCTGCAGAAGTAACAGTTTCAAGTTTACTCGTGGTCCCCTCTGGTTCTGAATAAAGCACTGGAGATCCTGCAGCATCACTGTACAGGCCAGATGGCCCTTGAGCAGATAGTACGGCTGAAGGAGCATCACTGGAGTTCACTGTTGGCGTATCTTCAGTAACTGGGATCCATTCGTGTTCTTGTCCACTACCATAGGCACTTTGATCGTCTCCACTCCCTGAGGACACCCTGACGATGTCACTGTACTCCACCTCCCCCCTTCCTAGCTCCATGCTTTGGAAGGGCTTGTTGGACATTTCCACCATGTCATTATTAGTGAAGAAGATGATCTCACCGCTAGCTGATTCCCCTGATCTTTCTCCTGATTCAATGGCATAGCCTCCAGATGTAAATCCACTTCCCTCACCAGACCTAAACAGCAAAAGTCCAGAAACTTCCTGCTCATGAGATTGTTCTTTGAGATCAATGAAGCCCGACCCCAAAAATGTCATACCAGAAAACTCTAAACCACTCCCAGAGCCACTGTGAACACCACTATCTCCAGATATATCACCACTCATCCCAGAGATATCACCGCTCACCCCAGACTCTGAGATATGTCCTGATCTGCTAAAATCCAAATGGCTTCCACCCAGCTCTTGTTCTATTAAATGTGGAGCAGTGGACACCTTCAACCATGAGCTATCCACCATGACACCACTGCCATCGATGAATGAAATGCCACTGGATCCTCCAGAGGGAAAAAATCCTGATGGGAAACCACTGAATCCTGAGGATTCCTCACTGGAACCTGATCCTGAAGAGATGCCAGAAAGGTATCCACTCTCGTCGCTTTCTCCTGAGCTGCTGGAAAAGTCTGAGGTAGAGCCACTCTCTTCAAAGCTATACCCTGACCAACTCCCTGATCCCGATCCAGAGGTGTCCAGTCCGAAGAGGCCTGAGCCCTGGCCAAGGGGGAAGGTGAGGATCTCTGTGCCTGCCTCCCCAGCCTCCTTAGGTCGTCCTGAAGCTGATCCAACTCCTGATAAAACAGAGTCACTTCCTGAAAAGGTCACTTGGATATCTAAGCCACTGCCAGATCCTGATGATCCTTCAGACCCGCTTGGCAGATCCCCACTACCACTGGCCCCAGAGGAGTCTACATTTGACACAAATGACCCAATCGGCTGATCCCCGCTCCCACTGCCCAACAGATCGCCAGTGCCACTGGCTCCAGAAGAGTCTCCACTCGAAACAAATGACCCACTCGGCTGATCCCCGCTTGCACTGCTCAACAGATCATCAGTGCTACTGGCCCCAGAAGATTCTCCACTTAAAACAAATGACCCACTCGGCTGATCCCTGTTCCCACTGCTCAACAGATTGTCAGTGCCACTGGCCCCAGAAGAGTCTCCACTTGAAACAGGTGATCCACTCAGCTGATCCCCGCTCCCACTGCTCAAAGGATCATCGGTGCCACTGGCCCCAGATGCGCCAGATCCAGAGGGTTCTGCAGGGATAGTAGTAGAAGTGGTTCCATCTGAGGAAACACAGATACACATAGAATCTAAGGTACTGCACCAAAATTAACACTCATCATGCATTAAAATACATTAAAAATACAATTCATCTGTACAATGACTTAAAGTGATAGTTCACTCAAAAATTAAAATTCTGTCATCTTACCCTCATGCCATTCCAAACATGTATGACTTTATTTTCTCTGTGCAAATAAAACAATATATTTTGAGAAATGTCTGTTTTTTTTGTTTCTTTTTTTGTCCATAAAATGGAAGTCAATTCTGGTTACCAACATTCTTCAAATTATCTTCTTTTGTGTTTTTCAGAAGAAAGAAAGCCATACAGGTTTGGAATCAGATGAGGGTACCAGAGAGTAAACGATAACAGAATTTTCATTTTTGGGTGAACTATCCTTTTAAATACACATTTTCACTCAGGTTTTTAATTATTTCTGTTTCTTTTTAATTTGAAGGGAGTGGGGGATAAAGTCAAAAATATTACACTGATGCTGTCCTGATATCAAAATGAAGAAAAAAAAAAGCATGAAGAAAAATTGATTAAACAGGAAATGAGAGGACCCCTGCAGACCCTCATCAATTGTGTGTCAATGTTCATTGATCAGACAATTTGACTTTTATTTCACTCTTTATGGTAAGGCAAGGTTAGTTCAGATTGTAAAATGTCACAGGGTATGATTCCTCAAAACCTAATACTATTTATGAATTAATATATATTAAACATAAACAATATATTTAAAAAAAAATTTTTAAATAATTATTCAGATGTATAATTTATGTATGATTCATGCATATTTCTTAATCTTTTTTTAGCATTGACTCATTTATGTATCCTGAAATACAATATATTACCAGGTTTGAGAAGAGCAGGGAGGGATGTCACGCTCACTATCTTTTCCTCTGTCACCATCATATTCGGTTCACTTTCATTCAGAGACAGATCCAGATCCACTATATATAAATAAATAAAAATTACAAATATGTAAAGAATAATGTATGTTGTGTAAACACTCAACAGACTAAATTTTTTACATTTCAAGGAATCTACAATTTAAGGCATGTATATACTGTAGATGTATTTACCCATGATGCAGTATGCATCAAATTTGGAGTGCAGGTCATGAGAGCCAGTCTGGTTGGGAAACTTGTAAACTGTGTGAACTCCAGCCTTCCCTCCACCACACTGCTGCCACGGGTTACTGATGGAGTAGCGTACACTGTGGTCAAGAAGCCAGCCAGCACGGCACTTATCAAAGCCCTGCTTCCAAGCGGCATACAGATCTCCTGTGGAGGCCAGTGAGGCATTTTGGCCCTGACAGTAAGTCACTGCCTCATCGTAAGTGAATCCCTCAAATGAACTTGCATGGAACACCTCCCCTGAAAAAGTGAACATTTACTTTAAAACTCAAGCTACACAGTGATTCAGAGTAATTCTTTATCCCACAAGAGAATCCAATTTTTATTTTTTTGTTTTGTATTACTCTCAGAAACTTAAAATTTAGGTCATTTATATGTATTTACCCACCCTTTGACCACATAGCAGTTGTTATATATTTATGTAAATTATCTTACCCCGTAGTTTGTCCACATAGCAGTACACATCATAGTGTTCATTTGCAGAACGCAGTCCATAAGACCTCACCCCAGGAACATGCTCCAAATCACCAGAGCATTTCTCACGTGGAGACACAATGGGATACCTGCATAATCATTATTTACATACATTTGTAAACATATAGTCTTGCAATATGAAGCAGATAATTCCACTACAATCATTTGTCATCAACCCTGCCACAAATATTTTGCTTTATACTTATAATTTTATATATGGTAAACATATAAATGAAAACATTATGATTTATGAAGTAGAAATAAAAATAGACACCAACAATTTAATAAAAAATTTAACAGTTCATCACAATGTTACAATAGTGCAATGAATCGTACCTGACTGTCTGATCTAACAGCCAGCCAGCGTCACATTGATGGTAACCAGACTCATAGGCTGCCTGCAGTTGCTGGGCACTAGCAATGACTGCACCGATGCTCTGGCATGCCAGTTGAGCCTCGACAAAGTCAAAGACATAACGACCAGAGCTTGCACGATAATGGAAGACCACACCTGCAGAGAGAATTATTAATAATGGGTGTCAACAGATTTATCTAACTTACCAACACTGTAAAAAATGACCGTGAATTTAACGGTAAAAGACTGTAAAAATGCTACAGTAAAAACCTGTTAAATGGTTAATGGCAAATTCCCCTACTACATACGGTGAAAAACTGTATTGGACATTACATGTATTGGACATTAATTTTACGGTAGTATACTGTTTTTGGAAGTGAAAAAGACCATATAATTTACAGTGAATAACCGTAAATTGACAATCCCAGAATTCCCTGCATTACATTTCAAATTTGATGTTTTTTTTGTTGAAATAACTATGTTTCTTCTTAGTTTTTTCTTATCAGTTTTGTATATTAGGGTAAGTGAATCCCTCAAATGAACTTGCATGGAACACCTCCCCTGAAAAAGTGAACATTTACTTTAAAACTCAAGCTACACAGTGATTCAGAGTAATTCTTTATCCAATTTTTATTTTTTTGTTTTGTATTACTCTCAGAAACTTAAAATTTAGGTCATTTATATGTATTTACCCACCCTTTGACCACATAGCAGTTGTTATATATTTATGTAAATTATCTTACCCCGTAGTTTGTCCACATAGCAGTACACATCATAGTGTTCATTGGCAGAACGCAGTCCATAAGACCTCACCCCAGGAACATGCTCCAAATCACCAGAGCATTTCTCACGTGGAGACACAATGGGATACCTGCATAATCATTATTTACATACATTTGTAAACATATAGTCTTGCAATATGAAGTAGATAATTCCACTACAATCATTTGTCATCAACCCTGCCACACATATTTTGCTTTATACTTATAATTTTATATATGGTAAACATATAAATGAAAACATTATGATTTATGAAGTAGAAATAAAAATAGACACCAACAATTTAATAAAAAAAATTAACAGTTCATCACAATGTTACAATAGTGCAATGAATCGTACCTGACTGTCTGATCTAACAGCCAGCCAGCGTCACATTGATGGTAACCAGACTCATAGGCTGCCTGCAGTTGCTGGGCACTAGCAATGACTGCACCGATGCTCTGGCATGCCAGTTGAGCCTCGACAAAGTCAAAGACATAACGACCGGAGCTTGCACGATAATGGAAGACCACACCTGCAGAGAGAATTATTAATAATGGGTGTCAACAGATTTATCTAACTTACCAACACTGTAAAAAATGACCGTGGATTTAATGGTAAAAGACTGTAAAAATGCTACAGTAAAAACCTGTTAAATAGGGTTATAAAACTGAAACAATACACTGATGTTGATGACAATAACAGTAAAATCATGCATTTTCATGATTTATCTTTAACAAGGTTATTGTCAGAGACCCACTTGTCCCAGCATATTGTTCTAAAGGATTAAAAAGTACCATAAAATTATCCCACACACTTAGAGTAAATATTCTGAAGCCATAATACAACTTTTGTGTACATTTTTTAATCAATTATTCACAGAAAAAACAGGTGGACCTGAAAGACGAACAGTGTAACTCTCATAAAATGCATTGGTCTTCGTGTTTGTTGTTGTCATGATAAATTTGATTATGCAAAAACTATAACGTGAACTAAAGGAACTGAAGCCACCATGAATGAGATACATAAAGTGGGACACAGTAATAAATAAGAATATATAACTAATATTAACCATAAATTGTGGTGTTTTGCAGTTATTATTACATGCATATGTCAAATCACAGAGAACAACAGAATAATGCTGAACACATACATTGTTACTGTATATTCCCACATTGATACATACCTGTGGCAGGCATGACAGCTTCGGTTTCATTCAAATGGGATACATCAGAGCCAAGATCAGTCCTGTCAGTTATCCCTTCCACAACGTCCGTAACCACCTCAGCAGAGCTGGGAGGTGGTGAAAGTGGCAGCTGGGAAATATTTAGTGCAGTATATGGGAACTCGACACTGGTGGTCACTGAGGGCTTATATGTTACAACTTCTCCCTTCAGTTCACTTTTTGTGGATGTGGGCTTTAAAAACACCTGGGGGCTTTCTGTGATTGTGTCCACTCTCAGGATACCGCTGCCGGCTTCTGTGGTCGTCTCGATGTCAAATGGCAAAAAGCCGGAACCCTCCTCACCCGTTTCTAAATAAAAATAATATATGAACAATATACACCTGTTGATCAGTACCTGATCAATTAGCACCAGCTGTTAAACACATTATTGTGGATTAAATGGATCAATAAGGATAAAACAATCACAAATATATATATGTGACCCTGGACCCTGGGTCTTAAGTCGCTGGGGTATATTTGTAGCAATAGCCAAAAAAACATTGTATGGGTCAAAATTATCGATTTTTCTTTTATGCCAAAAATCATTAGGATATTAAGTAAAGATCATGTTCCATGAAGATATTTTGTACATTTCCTACTGTAAATATATCAAAACGTAATTTTTGATTAGTAAAGCTGGGAAATATTTAGTGCAGTATATGGGAACTCGACACTAGTGGTCACTGAGGGCTTATATGTTACAACTTCTCCCTTCAGTTCACTTTTTGTGGATGTGGGCTTTAAAAACACCTGGGGGCTTTCTGTGATTGTGTCCACTCTCAGGACACCGCTGCCGGCTTCTGTGGTCGTCTCGATGTCAAATGGCAAAAAGCCGGAACCCTCCTCACCCGTTTCTAAATAAAAATAATATATGAACAATATACACCTGTTGATCAGTATCTGATCAATTAGCACCAGCTGTTAAACACATTATTGTGGATTAAATGGATCAATAAGGATAAAACAATCACAAATATATATATGTGACCCTGGACCCTGGGTCTTAAGTCGCTGGGGTATATTTGTAGCAATAGCCAAAAAAACATTGTATGGGTCAAAATTATCGATTTTTCTTTTATGCCAAAAATCATTAGGATATTAAGTAAAGATCATGTTCCATGAAGATATTTTGTACATTTCCTACTGTAAATATATCAAAACGTAATTTTTGATTAGTAATATGCATTGCTAAGAACTTCATTCGGACAACTTTAAAGGCGATTTTCTCAATATTTAGATTTTTTTGCACCGTCAGATTCCAGATTTTCAAATAGTTGTATCTCGGCCAAATATTGTCCGATCCCAACAAACCATACATCAATGGAAAGATTATTTATTCGGCTTTCAGGTGATATATAAATCTCAATTTCGAGAAATGGACCCTTATGGTTTTGTGGTCCAGGGTCACATATGTATGTGGATGGACAATCATAAATTATAAATAAGGAATAGCAAAATAATAGAGAATTTTTTACCAGAGTAGCAAAATGCATCATAGCGGGAGTCTGAGAGAGGGTAACCAGTCTGATTGGGAAACAGATAGACGGTTCTCACTCCCAGCAGTCCACCCCCACACTGCGGTCGGGCAATGTTGATGGGGTAGCGGACACTCCTGTCTGCCAACCAGCCTGCATTACAAACATCCATACCACCCTTCCATGCCAGGTACAGCTGTCCTGTGGTGGACAACTTGGCACCCAGCTTTGTACACTCAGCTTCTGCCTCCTCAAAAGTGAATTTGTTAGGGGAAGTAGTGTGGAACACTTTTCCTGTAAGACGAAACAGAACATTTCTTTTTTTAGTATTTTTCAAAAGAAGTTTTTCAAAGAAGGATTTAGTTTTAGCATTTAGTTTTCTGCCATCTCAAACATGTACCTGTCATTTTCTCAGCAAAGCAGTACACGTCATACATCTCTTTCATGTCTCTTACTCCATATGTCCTCACTCCTGGAAATTGGTACTTGTCTCCATAGCAAGCCTCACGAGGATCATGAATAGGGTACCTTTTTTCCAAAAACAGATGATATTATTTCCATCACATTTTCAAGCAAAATTATAGAGCATTAACTAAATATACATTGTAAACAAAAAAGTTTGTAATTTTTACAGGAAAAAAAATCTACAGTAAACCTGTTAATTGGTTAACTGTAAGTTACTTTACTACATTATATGGTGAAAAACTGTAAATGGTTTGTCATTGCATTAAATGTAATTTTACTGTAAAATACTGTCAAATTTAGAGTTTTTGAAAGTAAAATCTATGAATTACATTATAGTTTAGTGAAAAACAATAAAAGGACATTCCCAGAAGTACCTGCATCACACATCACATTATATATTTCTTAACATTATATTTTATATGAACAATTTTGTTTCATCTTATTTTTGTTATCAGTCATGTAAACTAGGCAGTTTTGTGTTACATTTTCTGTTATTTAGTTAATGTTTATTGCATCAATCCAGTGACATTTTTTTTCTTGTGTATGTGCATCATCTACACAAAAATATTGGCCATGTTTTATGGACAGGCCACTTATAATGAATTCTAATTCATCATGTGGCTTTTTCTCGAACCACCTGTGCTATTATAGTGGTTATCAGTACATTTTAAGATAAATAGCAGATTTTCATGTAGATTGATATATCAACAAATATAAGTTGTAAAATATACATCCACCAATATGCCTTACTATAATACCTGAAACATTTTCACTGTATTTTTAGGGTGAATTTCTGGACACCTCAGCTGCCATTTTGACCGTAAATTTACCAGGAAATTTTTTAGATTAAAGTTAACTGACCTGACGGTCTGATCTGCAAGCCAGCCAGCATCACACTGGTGGAATCCCTCATCATATGCTGCTTGGAGTTGCTCTGGAGTAGCAATCACTGCACTGTTTTGAATACAGGCTGCCTTGGCCTTCTCAAACGTAAGGGTATATCGTGTGGTGATTGCACGATAGTGGAAAACAATACCTAAGCAAAATAAGTGCATCTATTTCATATTTCTGAGAAAACAAAACAAAACACACACAGTCATAAAGTAATATTCTCTTTAAGGATCTTCACACAAACAGTACCTTGAACTTGAACGTCAACTATATTATGACCATCCTCTATTCCATTCATGACCTCACAGCGGTACACTCCCGAGTCATTGGAATGGAGCTCAGTGATCTTAATAGAGGCGTCTGTGGGTGTCATAGGGTATCCAACCATGGTGATCCTATCCAGATACCTTTTGTCGATGCTTACTACTCCTTCAGATGCCGCTAAAATGTTTGTGGGCTTTTCCTTGGTGATCAGACTCCATTTGATCCGGTGAGACAAAGGGGCAATGGTGGGGGCACCAGGGTCATTGACTGTGTTGTCCTGGAAGTAGCAGGGCAGAACTAATGTGTCACCCATCAGAGGCCGGAGAGGAAGCTCATTGGGTATGCTGACACTCAGAGTGTTTTCAGAACAGATCTGTAGAACAAGTAGGTTACAGAATTTCAAACTAGCCATGAAGAAGTCTATGCTATGTCATTCAGTATAATTACATTTTCACAAATCATGCTATAAACGTTAATACGAGCACTAGACAAAGTTATTGTAGTTATGTATTTGCAATATTGTTGCAATAAACAACTGATAAAATTATCCACCCTTAAATATAGTAAAGTAGCTATTAACAAATGTTGATGCAATAAATAGGATAGGATTTAAAAATAATCATCCCTCTTTCACAAACATCTACATGTCTATCTCCTTTAAAGTGTTTATAGTGTATATAATGAGTTGTATTTGTAGGGGTTATTATAACACAATTCTTTAACACCAAATGATGAATTTTGATCAATTTGTCTCACTAACTGACAGGCTTTTCACAATACTTTAACAATGAAATCTACTCTGAACATTTGGATTAATCTAACTAAGCCAGAGATGCTGTGACAGTGCTCACTTGTACAGCCAGCGCAACCACAACATAAAGCCAAACTGTACATCACCTGTATGATGCAGTGTCCCTCTGAAACTCTTATAGTCCTTGATTGCAGATGCGTTTCAGCTCTCTGATGGCACGCGCGTCTCTCAATCCAAACCGCTAATAAAAGTGTCGCGTGTGCAGTAAAGTTCAGAAGCGCCTCTGGCAGGAGAATGAGAAGCAGAAGGGGAATGCTTTAACTGAACAGGAGCTGAAAGGGGGGCTAGGGAACGAGAGGTGGAGTAAAGGAGTTCATAAAATTTCCATGTATGATGTAATTTGGCCATACACAGAGCCTCCGAAACTTTTGTGGCTAGCATGCGCAAATCCTGACGATATTTATGTCGACAGTCCTCTTGATCCGTTTTGAGCCATAATACATTATTGGACGAAACACAGACGGCTTTTTTTGCTAATATTTATTACATGATGCCGTATTCCCTTTTGCATAACACCTTAATCAAAACCCAATTAAATTAGAATAATTTCTAAGAATTATGTCCTTCAAATTAAAACTAATTTCATCACATTTTTGCTATGCACTTTAGCTGTGAATTTCACTGCAATTAATAAAACGACACTGGCAACTCAACTCAAGTTCAATTACATATTGCATTCAAGATAGGCTATTCATTTTATGAAGTTACAAAAGCTAAAAGGTACATCTTTATACCTTATTCACCCCTGGTACATATTAGCCTTTCACTTCACAGGTTAACTGATGGACTTGAGTCATGTGGACTACTTGTGGATTATTGTGATGCTTTTATCAACTGTTTGGACTCTCATTCTGACGGCACCCATTCACTGCAGTGGATCCATTGGTGAGCAAGTGATGTAATGCCAAATTTGTCCAAATCTGTTCTGATGAAGAAACAAACTCATCTACATCTTGGATGGCCTGAGGGTGAGTAAATGTTTGACACATTTTCATTCTTGGGTGAACTATTCCTTTAAGCTACAGATATGCTGTTTAATGTTATTCATTTTGTCCTGGGCTATTACAATGTCGTTATTCCAGCCTAGAATATTCACAGAAGTAAAGTGTGACAACTAGCCCTGTGTATGCTACACGTTTCATACTACATCAGTGATTTAATTCAAGATTTGTGTCTTATTTTCTCAATTTCCCAAAATCCCAAGTGCTGTTTTCAAATATTGTGCCACTTGTTCACAAACATCCATCATATTAATTAGTCTTCTGGAGCAGCAACATTAACACAAGTGGAAAGCAGCAACACAAGGCTTCATTCAGCAGCCTGGCCCACCCTGTTGTTCCTCTCAAATGTTCCTCTCTGAGGAACATGACAACGTATCCCATTGAATAGAGTCACTATTTGAGAACCTTGCAATGTCTCACAAGACATAAGAACACGGAGTACCCAATAAAGAACGCTGTGTGCTTGGTGTCAGAGTTTAGGAAAAAAGCTGCAGCATGACATTTAAGATCTGATTTCCATTTATTCCTGAAGGTATTTAATTTGTGATGATGTAAATCATGCTAATATGAAAACGTTCCTTAAATCTCACCTTCTCTCAGACTATCCATCTCTCCATCATTAACATACCGATTACACTGCAGCGATACAGAGAGAACCAGTCATGAGTGCCGTTTAAACTCAGTTAAGGTTTAGATGGGAGGGACATTCTTGTTTCTTTTGGATGGTGATTAAAAACTGTAACTGAACTGGTTGGAATGGACTTCAAAGAGGAGATTCCCACTGTGAGTTTGTGTGAGAGCTTTGTCCTCTTTGCTTTTATTCTGCAGTTTGTGTGTATGAAATGAGATGCAAAGGTATGTTTGAAATTTGCCCTGGTTTGTTAACCTGCTCAGGTTAACCTGTGTCCCTTGACACCTTTAAAGAGACACAATACCTTAAAGCCCCCTCAAAATACTAAATATATCTTCTTACTTCCAGAAAGCAATGTGTTTAAATTAAAAACGTTTATGTAAATTATATTAAATTAAATCATTATCACACAGAAGTTATACAGTAGTGCTTCAGAAGAGTAGAAAAGGGACAGCCTTTTCATCAGATTTTAAGCAATCAAGCTGACGTTTGGTGATTGACGTTGACAACACGCACAGTTCCAAGTGAAGCCTTCGGGGACCTGTGGACATTTCGCTGTCCTGAAGGGCTCTTTTCATCAAAAAGGCCAAACTATTGAAAGACGTCAGGCGTTCTCCTCACTGACAATCTTGTTTCTGTAGAGGAAGAGAAAACTCAGGTCTCTGGGGAGATTTAAAAAAAAAAAGCTTCTTCGCAAGCCTGTGTGAGGAAACAGAATTCCTCAGGGCAGTTGTCACTCCAGGTGCTTTCTGTCATTCTGTGTGGTGGCACTGAACTGTTTTCCCTACTACCTACCGAGAAGAATGAGGAGAGGTAAAGTGCTGCCTCACCTCCAATCTAAAAAGACATTATGGACCTTTGAATTTAACTGGTGCAGTTATACGTCTTACTGACTCCACAAAATTGATTTTTTTTTTAATACATTTGACTATAGAGCGAGTTTGAACCTGACATAGACAAATGACCGTATTAGTTTTGTAGAGTTTTTGCTACTGCTATATCTAACATAATCTGACCCAAGAAGTTTTGCACTCAGTGGCTCCCTGCTGTCAGGAAATAGGCTTTCTTTCACAGGGAGCGCCTTCACATAGTATTTTTGGACAGCGAAGAACATATTTATTTTCCTGCTGGAACTGAACAGTGCATTGTACGCCATGGCTTCTAGAGCATAGTGTAAGTCCCAGAGCTGAGGAGAAGGACGCCAGCTCTCTCTCAATAGTGTCCATTTATACCCCTCACTTAAAGCTGCTGCATGCCTCATTTCATCTGCTAATTGTCACTGTTTTGTGCATCACACAGAGATTTACTGGCATGTCATTGACTCATTTAAATATTATACACAAAAACATGTACATCCTTTAGAAAATGCAAATCATATGATTAGCTGCATCCAACAGGCCTGCAGAGAATCCTAATGATTGTATTTGTAGGCTAAATATTTTATTATTTGTGATGATTTTCAGAAAAAAAAAATCATGTAGGCCTAAATGCAATTCCAAACAATCCACAGTTAAACATTAATCATAAAATAAATAATTAAAATACTCATTATTAACCATAGCTTTTCCCCCCATCCTAATGCAAACCGAATTCCTGAAATTCTAAAACTGGATCGCCGTTCTACACTACGCACACCACCCACCATACCCTTTGAAGGATAGATTTCACAAATTGAAATGGTCTTTGCATGAATTCACCCCACTCCACACACGTCCTGTAAGGAATTTAGAGCAGATGCAGTTCCTATGTAAGCATTTGTGTTTGTTTAAGTGTGTGAACGTTTAAAGGGAGATGTAGAACAGTATTTCCTTATCCACAGGAACAGACCTGACATTATTCTTGTAGTACCTGTTTAAACACATCTCACAAGCTACTCTCTGTTTATTAAGTCACATTTATATGGAATATTATTTTATAAAAGGAAATAAAAAAAACTTGTAGTCTTGTAAGTTTACCACTTCTGGTGCTTTTTCATATACGGTGCACTCTTGCATTTGACTGTGGAACTGTGCACAACAAGAATGCTCTAACGTTTCTGCACAAAGTCTGCATTTGGTATCAGGAAAGAAAGAAAGGTTTAAAAAGGCAAACACCTTTTACGGTAAGAAAAAACAGTGCTGGCTTTAGCTCACCGTTGCTGCTAATACGGCATTTGTTTTGATTAGGACTTGAGGACATTCCTTGCATTTTAATGCATCTGTTCCTTCAAATAAAAATGGGCTCTGAGACAGACTGATAACAAGACGTGTGGTGGGTATATACATCCCATGGGTATATATGATAACTCATTTTTCCTGATATAATGTTTCCCAGCATTAAATCATTGACTTAATTTGGCTTTTTTCCACTAGTGAGTACAGAAAAAAGACAATGTAAAAATGAAAAGAGATCTATAGAATCTAAACATCTATAAAATCTGATATAATTGCTCTGGTTTTAGAAGTCACATAAATGGTTCATCATGAAATCACTTCTTTAATTCAGCTGATTATAGTAGAAATACACCTCTATCTACAGAAAGCCTTAGTGTGTCATTACAGTGGCAGAAATTCAAACGCAGAGGAAAATAAACATGCAAGCAATGAATTGAAAAGCACAAAGTAGGTGATGGATACATAAAGATGAAAATACATGAAGTCATTGAATATCATATTAAAGGAATAGTTCTCCCAAAAATGAAAATTTGCAGAAAATTTACTCACCCTCAGGCCATCCAAGATATAGATGAGTTTGTTTCTTCATCAGAACAGATTTAAAAACATTTAGAATTACATCTCTTGTTCACCAATGGATTCTCTGCAGTGAATGGGTGCCGTCAGAATGAGAGTCCAAACCGCCAGATAAAAAACATCACAATAATCCAAAGATAATCCACACGACTCTTGTCTACCAATCAACATCTTGTGAAGTGAAAAGTTGCATGTTTGTAAGGAACAAATGAAGGCGTTTTAACTTTAAACCGTCACTTCTGGCCAAAATAGGAGTTCATAATCCATAATAATGCTTCTTCCAGTGAAAACATCCATCCCCTGTTGTCCTCTTACATCAAAATCCACTGACATATTTGTTTAGAACTGTTTTGGACTGCTTTCCCTTATAAATGGTGCTTGATCTGTGCATATTTTTCTCCTGATTATATTGACTCGTTTGAAGTTAAAATGCCTTAATTATTTTTTATTACAAACACACAGATTTTAATTGATTGGACTGGAGTCACATTAATTACTTGTGGATTATTGTGACATAAATCTTGAAATAAAATCAAGCATTGACAAATCAGTGCAAAGTCATAGTTGGCAATCAAGATTATGACTACATAAATACATGCATCTCAGACCACTATCAAACTACCAAAGGGCGACGTCAATCGTGTGATTAGGTCCAAAAGAGGAGGACAGAGCACTTTTATAATTGAATCTATTGCTCTATAAACACTCAATCAGCAGCACACTTCTGGTTTGACTAAATAAGGAACATATGTAAGGTGCGTTCCTGAGCCCTCCAGCAGAGATGCTTTTGTCAAAATAAGTGAGAGGCTAAAGTGATGAAATCTGACAAACTGTAGCACTGGAACTCAGTCCTTCCCTCTTTATGTTGAGCTCAGGTTGAAAGTATCAAGATCAGAATTTTCTGAATGGCTGATGTTGGTTTGAAGTTTATCAGATGTATGGTATACCTACATCAGAAATGTAAAAAAAAAAAAGAAAAGTGTATTGGTAAATGTATGCAATTATCCACTGGTAATTCTTATTGAAATGATAAATAAATGTATAGAAATAATAATAAAACAAGACAGCAATAAAGAGACTTTCAATAAGCTATTCAAAATTAAACTATGAAAGGCTGAGTGGCAAAAGAATAGGAAGCATGAACCAGGCAGAGTTGTAGGTACATTAATGGTCACATTCATATGTGCTTTCTTGTTTTCTATTTACGTACAGGACATTGTGGCATATCTGTGATCAAAATCATGTTGCGGTTTTCCAAAATTGCTCTTACCCGCTCAAAACAAAACTGGAAGTCTGTTAAAGAAAAGGTCTATGTAAACATTTGCACAGATTTCTGTTTGAGCAAGAAGGTGTGCTCTGCATCGCTGCTCAATAAGGAGTCTTGTTATATGCAGGTTGTTGACCTTGCTGTTTATAAAATGTGCTTTTCATAAGTGACATAGAAGCGCACTGTGACCCCCACCTAGCCAAACTTTGACATACTATGTGGGCTGTGTTCAGGCTACAAACAGACTGGCAAAAATGTACTTACAAGCCAATGCTCAGTCCTCAGATGAGCCCAAAAAAGATCATGCTGGCATCAGTCCTAAGGAAGACAATGTTTGAATAAATGTGGCTCTGGAACATCTGTATGAGTGACAACACTGAAGTGTGTCAAGCTTTCCAGCAAAATCTAAAAAATCCCTGGCATTTTAGCGATTTTATATGGCCACTAACATTTCAGAGCAATCCTATTAATAATTTAAAATTAACAAATTGCCATTATACATAACTAGAAAGCCAGAACAGACACGTTGACATGGTGAATCACCAAATTCTGAGGTCCACTTTTTCTGAACTGTGCGTCACAGGAACTGCACGTCTCTGACTTGAATCCTACCTCACTGGCAGGAGTGACTACATTTCATGACTGGGTGTTTCTTCAGCTAAGGGCACTTTTGACCCTGTGGACTTTAAGCAAATAAAGGCTCTTAAAACATACTTTTCACACTCTCACGAACAATTTCACAACACAACGGACATACATACATTACAGAAGAATTGTGTCATTTGCTTTTTTCCCGTTAGCTATGAACATTTCCACCAGAGTGTTATTCCAAGCACATATCAAATGATGTACTGCGTTTAAAATCATTCTGTTAGTTATAATCTATTATAATCTCGCACAATATACACTCTGTTTGAGTTTGCTGGAAATTGCTTAGATGTTCCTATTACACTTTTTACGGAGTACATTTTTTTAAATGAGTGGGTCTTGATTTAAAAATAATGAATTAACAAATTCAAATTTCTGAATATTTCAGGTTTTTTTTTTTAGATATTAAGACATTGTAGAGTTGAAATTTATTTTTCTTTAAATTAAGAATATATTTTTGTCCACAAAAGTTCTGTCAATTATGTTACTTCACCGAACAACGCCTTGCAAAAATGGTTGATCTCAACACCTGTTTTCATTCTTGTATTCCTGTGTCTTGTTTCCCTCCCTCATATTGTTACGGGGCGACAGAGACGTGAGACGTGCGGATCCATCTGCATGCGTTTATTTAAGAGACCTGGTCATAACAGGCATGGGTCAAACAAGTACAACACAGGCAAGACAGAGTAATCCTAGGACAAGCGTGGGTCATCGATCGGCAAACGTAATCCAGAGGGTTTGACAAAAGGGGTTAATCTGTAAACACGAGCAATAGTCAAAGGACCGGAAAACAGGCAAAACTAGACTAAGACTAGGACTTGGAAATAAACAATGGCTAACGAAATGGCTCCGTAACGTAGCTATCACTGACTAGCGATATGCGCATACAATACTCGGCGATCTGAATGAGGAAGTCAAGGGCTTATAAACCGTGTCTGATTGGATTCAGCTGTGTGTGTAATCAGTGCATTCAGCTGTGTGTGTGTGAAATCAGTACAATGGATGATGGGAACTGTAGTCCGGATTGTACCAGTCTGTGTGGTGTGAGAGTCAATGTAGTGAGCGCGTGACCTCTGGTGGTGAGTGAACAGAAGTTCATAGACTGAATTTGTGAATTCTCCCCCCCCCCCGAAGGAGCGGCTTCCAGAAGCTCCTAATTCAAAATGATCCAGGAGGGCGATGGAGCAGAGGCAGAACAGGGGGAGGGACGGAGGGCCAGGTCCACGTGAAAGTGGAGAGACCGGAGACTGGGGCAGAGCAGGGTACCCAGGCTGAACTGGCGAAGCAGGAAACCAGGACGGAGCAGAGAACCAGGGTGGAGCCGGCAGAGCAGGTGGAGCTGAGGACCACTACAGCTGAGCAGACGGGTCCAAAGATCCCCACGGTGGAGCAGAAGACCACCAGAGCAGGACAGGAGACCACCAGGCCGGAGCAGATGGAGCAGAAGACCACCAGGCCGGCGCAGACAGAGCAGAAGACCACCATGACTGAGCAGATTGGACAGAAGCCCACCAGGGCGGAGCAGAAGACCTCCACGGCGGAGCAGATGGAGCAGAAGACCACCAGAGCGGGTTAGAAGACCACCAGGCTGGAGCAGGAACCCAAGGTAGGAACTGGGACCTGGGTAAACTTGAAAAACAGGAAACAGACGCACCTCAAGGACCGAGGCAGAGAACACAAGAAGTTCATCTATAGTCTCCCTGGTGACCACTGAATGGGTAGACCATTCAAAATCTGGTTCATTGACTGAAACTAGACCGGAAAACAGTTCATAAACCGGCTCATGGACTGAAACTGGACAGGCAGACAGTTCACAAACAGACTCACTGACTGAGACTGGACAGGCAGACCATTCAAAATCAGTCTCATTGGTCGAAACAGGACAGACATATGGCTCAAAACTAGAATTCTTGACTGAAACCAGATAGATAGACAGTTCATTAGTGGTCTCTTGGGAAATGACAGGGGTAATGGGACAGACATGGAGTGTTTTTGTAGTTTCTGGGCTCATGACAGACAGAGTTAAGAGGTCAAAGGCAGATCTTTGGGTTATGACAAGGTTACCTGAGCCTTCAGGGAGCTTAGTTAAGGTTTCTGGGGTCATGACTGAACTTGGGGGGCAGATAACAGGTTCATTGATTGCAATGGGACTGACAGAAACGTCAAACACATTACTTTAAAGTGGACAGACAAATGGCTCATCATTAGACTTACAGACTAAAACAGGACTGACAAAAAGTTACAAATCAGGATCATTAGCATTATTTAGACAGACAGAAAATGTATTAGTGGCCTTTGGGCTCGTGACTTGGCTAGCAGGGCAGACAGAAGGTTCGTTAACGGCCCCTATGGCCATGGCAGGGTTAACTAGGCAGGGAAATAGTACATTTAAGGCCTCAGTCGCAACAGGCTGGTTTGAGAGTTCCAGAATGGCTCTTGCAGCTGCAACAGAACAGTCAGGAAATTCACAGACAGCGTCCTTGGCTGTGACAGACAGGGCTGAGAGTTCATAGGCAACCTCCTCGGCTGGATCGGAACAGGACAAAAGTCTATAATTGGCCTTCATGACGGGTTTAGAACAAGTCGAGAGTTCCCGAAATAGCCTCCTCGGCTGGTTCAGGGCAGGAAGAGAGTTCATAGGCGGCTTACTTGGCCGGAACAGGACAGGCAGAGAGTTCACAGACAGCTTCCTTGGCCGGAACAGGACTGGCAGAGAGTTCACAGACGGCCTCCATAGCCGTTACAGGACAGGCAGAGAGTTCACAGACTGCCTCCTTGGCCAGAACAGAACAGGACGAGAGTCTATAAGTGGATACCACTGACACCTCTGGAGGTTCTGCAGCGGATGCCGCCACCTCTAGAGGTTCTACAGCCGTACCATCAGGAAACAGGGAAAGTTCATGAATATTCTCCTTAACAAAACATCCACAGAGTTAAGCAACGGTTCCTTCGACCGTGACATGACAGGTTGAACGTGTATTGCTGGGCGCCACCACCGCGCAAGGAGCTGAAGCAAGCACCGCCACCTCGGGAGGTTCTGCAGCGTGGGCCGCCACCTCTGGAGAAGCTGCAGCGGGCGCCATCGCCTCTGGGAACATGGCAGCGTGCACGACTACCTCGGGAGGATCTGCAGCATCAGCCGCCACCTCGGGAGATCGCACAGTGGCCGCCGCAGTTTCTAAATTTTCAGTGGTGGTGTATGCAGCCCAAATCCACCATAAAGCGATCCCCATTGTGGGAAGCGCTACAGACAGGGGAAATACTTCAGAAACTGGAGGGCTTGAGAGCGCTGGTTTAGGGACTAGATTCATGAAGATCAACCGTGACTTGACTAGACTCATGAAGATCAACGGTGACATGACTTGACTCTGGAAGATCAACCGTGACTTGACTTGACTCTGGAAGATCAACCGTGACTTGACTCTGGAAGATCAACCGTGACTTGAGTTGACTCAGGAAAATCAGCGGGGACTTGACTTGATTCAGGATTGGCAGCTGTGACATAACAGGGCGCTGTTGTTTCCGCCATTTTGTGAGCGTGCACTAGCGTGGCCGCCATTACACGAGTGAGTGCAGGGTCGCATTCCTCCACAACACCCACAGTGAATGTTGAACCAACAGTCAACAAAGCATAGTCCATAAACTGACTGAGAGATGAGCGGGGACCTTCACGGATTAAACGTGATTTGAGCAGCTGATTAATGCCCTCACAAAAGAAGTCTAGGGGTACACAGTCCGGCAGATCAGAAAAATAAGCAAAGTTCA